ACAACTCGAATCGCAATATTAATCCCTAAACTTAGCTTATCAAGAAGCCACCTTGAACCAAATGTTACTTTACGAACCCCGTATTTCTATAAGAAGGGAAAAAAAGATGGCGAACTGTCCTTGACAATGATGGCTAATAACATAATAAATTAAAGAACAAGTAAGAAAGTAAGATTCGGCGGGCCGAATCTCGCTTACCCACCGCTATGTTTTTCGCATTCCGCTCTCCGAGTTCTTTTATTTAATATCCATATCGTTGGCATTATTAACGAGAAAGTATTCGCGCTGTCACTTGTAACTTTGTGTGGCCATGGCAGATGTTGTCCATTTTTGCCCATAAGGGGTAGGGAGCTTCGAGAAGTAAATTTGGAAAATTTCAGCCTTCTAATTAATAACAAGCCAAGTATCACAAATTTTTGTTAAAAAGAAATGAGATGCGTTCAATTTACGCTCCATTGCGCGCTTTTGCTCTGACCAATTTGACCCATTTTCAATACCAACCTGCGTACAGAAACCTCCAATGTTTCTACCACATTTGAAGTCGAGATCTTTATTTTTGGAACTAGGAGAATACCAACAAAGCACACCACAAGGACGGGCGGACGGACATGACTATATTAACTCAGAATTTCACGCTGATCAAGAATATGTATGCCCGATAGAGTCTCTGAAGCTTCATTTACGGTGTTATGGTGGGTATAACTTAAATTTGCTACAATATTTGTGTTAGATTTCAAAACGATTCATTACTTAGGCGACCCCTATCATGTGCATTATATAAGTTCCGTGTGATGCATGCATTTATACGCAACGAAAATTTAACAAATTTAATATCCTCCCGCCCATTGTGCGAGTTTAAAAAAAACAAAAAACAAAAAAAAAAAATCAACTCAAAAAAACATTCTCATTACATTTATGTTCATGTTATGTTCTTTATACGCTGGAGTTGCCGCTGAGCGTGACGGGCGATTCATATAACTCAAGCCTTTTTTTTTGATTTTCTGAAAATGCGACCGCAAAAAATCAGTGTGTGTTAATTCCATTTAAAACGTTTTTTTTTTCTTTTTTGAAATATCATGCAGTCAGGTCAATGTATCTGTTTTTTCCTTTATAATTCTTTGCTATCAGATTAATTAATGAAATTTGTTACTAATAGAAAACATTGGTATTTCCGTTTTTCCTTGTTCATACAAATACGGGCACAGAAAGGTAAATATGTTATCCTTTTGTTGAAAACTGAATTCAAAGCAGAAATAACACAAATGACAAACAGGAAGGATAAGCGGAATAAGAAAAAGTTTTGATCTTCTCTATAAAGTTTTAGACTAATGATGATGAATTCAAATTAAATAAATGGACGTACGGTAAGGCACCAATACATCGAATGTCTATCGCTCTACCTTGCATTTAAATAAGGCAAGCGTGCTAATGGTGACTAATGGGTCTTATTCGAATATAATTTTCTTTATATAAAATATACTTAAAATGTAAGTGAGAAGCTTTTTTATTAGCCTTTTAAACCAAAGCCTTTAGAACAAAGAAGTAAATTCTAAAGCTGAATGCGCACTAGAACTAATCTATAGAAAATTTACATAAAATCAATGTCTTCTGAATGTTAGAAATAATTTATTTGTACCGTCATGCCGTGTGTCGGATTGCCGCTGTAATATGTGCTTTGAGGAGCGTCGAGGCGCATTTCCAGTAGCTGCTAGCATCATTCAGATTGGAGCGAACTGTCACTAACTAAACAAATCATAGAACGTACTAGTTAACGCACAGATCACTTTTGTTGGCTCAGAATCTCACCCTTAACGATTGCTAACAACAGCATTAGTCTGAACACGTAAACATGAATATTTTTATGTGCACAAGTAAAAACGTTATTAACAGCATGATATGATCATCGCATTAATGAATTATTTCATTATGAGGTAATTAGTCTGCAATCCAAGTTTTCTTCCACTTCTTTTGTCTTTTTTGCTTTTGTGTACTCATCACTGAAAGATGAGGTGTGTATTCATTTTGGCAAAATGTTTGCAGCACCCAGAAGAACGCTTAAGAGACCCCATAAACTGCATGTATTCTTGATCAGCATCAAATTCTAAACCGATTTAAGCCTGTTCGTCTATCCGTCTGCCTGTATAATGCCTATAGCAGATATTCAAATTTGGCAAAAACATTAGAAATTCTTGCCCGCGGATAGGGACTGAAATGAGATCAAAGACATCCCTACTACTACAACAAACGCAACGATAACAGCTTCTCTATTCTGAGTATGGTCCTGCTGCATCTGACCAAAAAAAAAAAAAATTCGCCACTTGCAGCTCGCAGAAAGAAGCTTTACACACATACGATTGGTCAAATCGGAATCGGTCTAGATATGTTTGTCCGTCCGTCTGTCCTTCTGGCTACAAATTGTTGCGCTCTGGTCGCAAAAATAAAAAAATCTGTTTCACGCGCACGGTATAAACATCCCCTTTTATTCGGCAAACCTATAAAAACTCATTCACACGCGTCCGACATTAAAGGCTGTGGAATTTACTCTTTCAGTCTTTTTTAAAATAATGGTGATGAGTAGAAATAATTCGGTGGCAATCGAATATAAATTTCTTACTTGTTTTTCTTTACGTCGACGACAGCTAGTAACAACTAGTGTATGACTAATGAAGATAAAATAAAAAAAATTAAAAAAACATAAATGTATACATGTATGGTGTTCACGTCGAAGTCGCAACACCCAATCTCAGCGAACTTTCTACACAAAAAAAATATATTCCTGATAGTTCCAGAAACATTAAATGTCTGAGCAGACATATGAAGCTAAACTGAAATATTCTTATATGCTTGCTTAATTATCTCTAGCTCGCTCGCATTATCTCCCCCCTCGAAAGGAATATCAGCAAAGTTAATGTTACCCGCTAATATTCGTAACATAGTATTGTACTATGAATGTTATTTTTAGACTACTGACTTAATCGGTCGAGAAAATAACAATGCATCGTAATTACAGAAACAGTTAACACCGAAAACCATCGATTTTCCTCCAAAGCAAAAAAAAATGGGAGCAAGAAAACTAAAAAAAAAAAATAAAAGAAGAGATAAAATAGAATTTCAAGACACTGCAATGTTGAATTTTTCCATTTTGAATAACAGAAGAGATCTGTACGGATGCACTCTGGTATATATGTGAAAACTTCTAACGAAGTATCTCGTGTCGTTTACGAAAAATAAGTAAAAACCCATTTGCTTTATTGCTTTTGAGAGCATTTTCTATGTTAACCTACATGCATATGAACTTGCAATGTTTTTATTAAATTGGAAACGGTGATTTGTCACCGTGAGAATAACTACCACAAGTATTATGCAAACGGGCAGCTGGAAATGCTTAATCGGTTCGCATTTCGATGCTTATCTAGATTGCACGTGGATCTTCCTCCTCTGTGTTGCAAACGTTTTGATAGATTGGATATACCACCGTCCTTCGGAGAGATCAGTATAAAAAATATAACTGTAGGCTATCTTTCCGCAACGCTTATAATTCATAAACTATCTGCGTTTAACTTTCTATTATAGACACTACACTATCATGAAAAATTCAAAGAAAATAAAGCGAAACAAAAATTAAAACAAACTAAATCGAAATTCTTCAAAAGTTCGGCCAAATGTACTTGAATACCCCCCTAGAAAACCTAGTAGAGGAAAGACATTATTTTATTACATCAAAACACTGAGCAAGTTAAAAAGCAATTATTTAAAGCAGTAACCGCCTGAAAGCTCTTGACAGAAAGAATTCCTTTGTGTTGTTGTCGGTGATACTTTAGTGCACAATGTTTGATGATAGATAAGTGTAAAATAAATTTTAGTCAAATTTAGTCTTTCTTTTCCACAAATATTCAATTCAACTCCTTTCAAACGGCTTATTCTCTCTTAACAGCGACAGCACAATAACAATCGCTAATTAGAATGGCGAAATATTTCAAAGGATAACAATATGAAGGCAAAAGTCTCGACTAGCAACTCCAACGGTCGTGGGTTCAAATCTCGAAGTGCGATAAAGTTTTTAATGAAACCGAAAGCCTTAGATGCTACTGCTTTGAGACTTTAGTCTTAGAATTCTCTGGCTAAATTTGTAATAATAATAATCATAACAATAATATTTAATATATTTACCTATATATCTTTATTTATTAATACTTGAATTTTACTCTTAATTCAAACACTTTGTGGGTTTGCATCCTATAGGTATTATGTCTGGTGCTTCGAAGAGCTAATAAACTCTTGTCTGTGTATCTTCAGCGGAAATTGTAAATATCTCTAAACACTTAATTGATTGATATTGAGGAAATTGCGTGAAAATTTCGAAATAAAAATTGATTAAAAGTTGGCTTTACACGATTTCGTCAGCAATTAGCCAAGGCAGAAAAACCCATACGTATGCTTTTTCCTTCACTATTGAAAACATTATGAAGCTTCTCATATACCAAACATATCGTCACATCTTTCAAAATATATATGCGGAGTGGGAGCTTAGCCATGTACTCTTGCATTCGACTTGCCGTCATTTATTCTCTTATTACGTATGGCTAGTTTAAAACTCAGCCTAATTTGAACAGATCTGAGCCAAGCCTTCTAATAACTGTGTAGACGTACACTTTATTAATTACAGTAGGATTTTGAATGTGAGCAAAAAATACTCCGTGCATTCGGATGAACCTGAATCTATGGTTTGCTAATTGAGAATCCACAGTTGTAAAGTCGCAACGTAATAATAGAATTTAAAAGGCGTCGTGCTTTCAGACTTATGTGAAAAAATTTTTTGAATCCTGCTATCAATCTTATATAAAACTCTTATACATTTATATGTATTCTTTAGTTGAATTAATGGACATTTTACAGGTTTTCGGTTAGGTGATATTCCTGTTAGGTCGAAGAGAGGTTTTTCAATTCATTTCTTCTTTTCAGCTTTCACACTAAGTAATTATTTATTAATTCGTACTAACCTCTTGTGTTATTTCCAACTCATGTTTTGCATTCTCGTATAAAGTCTCCAATTCTTCCACTTTTTGTGCGAGACCCGACTTCTCCTCCAATAAAGAAAGACCATACTGGGCGGACTGTGCGCGTTCACTGGTCGCCTGATCAAGTTCGCGTGTTAAACGTTCCACTTCTAAACGCAACTCATCTACGTTTTTAGGTAAATTGGCCAAGCCGCCGGCTCCCGAATCGAGTGACATGTTAATGAAGACTGCGATATCGCTCGTTACGTATACTATGAAGTTAAAAATGTAGTGTGTGATGTCAAAACGGTAACTTTATAAATGTGTATATTTAGTATGCTTAATACGAGCGCACATATACGTTAGGGATGATAAGATTTTTTCTTTTTTTTTTTACTTTTATGTAATCGCTTTGTTGATGGACGGGCACAAAAGGGAAGGTTTATATTTTGATGGATGAATGAATACGAAGAGAAATTTAAAACTTAAGCCGAAAAATTCCTGTGAACTCTGCGTGTTGACAGTGAGTATTTCCCTCGCTGATATTTAAATTAGCATTATTAAACAAAAAAAAAAACAAGTTAATAGTGATAGGTGTGGTAAACTGTAGTGGGCGGAATCGTAATGATTTTTTGTTATTGATCGCTCGTCGCATTAAAATGTAAGAATCTCGTTGTAATTGGAGGGAATGTTTCCTTTTTTATTACTAAAACTTCTTGAATCAGATTTGGACGTATTGTTACTTTAATTAAATGATTAATATGATATGCTTATTCTCGTTTTTTTTTTTTTTTGTTTATTTTTATTTATTTTTGTAAATTTTCTCTTCTCTGCATAATTAACATTCTTTTTATAACTCTTCTCTTTCTCTTTTCTTCGTATTTCGCTTTGCAGTTGTTTGAATACTCTTTCTAAACTTAATGCTCTCTTGTCATTCTCGGGAAGCAATGAAAATATGCAGCTTTTTTTTATTTTTTTTGATTCGTTTCTTTACAGGTTATTTTATTATGATCTATGTTTTTCCTTTCTATTAAAATAGTACTGTAACTATAATTTCACACACAGCGCCACAGTGCAAAGATTAAAATACGCAAAGGTACGAATACAAATTTGCTTCAATATTGAATGAACAAAACTTCCCAACACAATTACTTGCAAATTAAGTTAAATAAAATGCTAGAACTCGGAAACTATTGAGGCCCAATAGTGACATCACAATTTCTTTGCCTTGTCGACTTCTTCTCTTCCACACATTTTTCACATTCAACTTTCTATTTTACATATACACTTATTTGTTGTTTATCTAAATACACGGAATATATATATATATACCCTTCCATTTGTATGGCAAATCATAAGTATTATGAAGCAAATAAAAATAAATAATGCACTTGAAAATTGTGTTATTCCAGATATTAAGCTTCTTGTAAATTAAAAATATATTCTTCAACACGTCTCTTCTTTTAATGAGTGAATGACGGAATGCACAAAGTATGCCACAGATTCGTGTGAATGCTAATTAAAGACCAAAGATTAGGACAAAATGCGAGCGATACTCTTAAAAAATGGCGAATTTTCACTAAACCAACTACAAAATCAGACTAACACTATTGCAAGCGGTGCAGCCGTTCATGCAAGATAGATTCAGCGTTGCTACCAAACGTGCTACGAATTTCAATTTCATACAACTCTGGATCCAAAAACCCCTATTTTTGTAAAACTTTTTGTGTTTGTGAAGGTGATACTTGTGTATTTTTTTGCTGAAAAGGTAGTAGCATGTGGATTTTGTTGCTGTAAAAGTAGTATCGTGTGTATATTATTGCTGCAAAAGTAGTGCCGAGTATATTTTGTTTTTAGATTTGCCATTTTATATTTACATTTGCCATGCACGTGGTCGTTTAGATTGCAAAAGTAAGACAATATGTACATGTGACAGTAAGGCTTTTTCACGCAAATATTCGCTTAAGGAATCTATTAGAAATTCCGCTTCTTTGACGTTGTATTTCTTTACTTTAATTTACATATTTAAATAAACTTGTTAATAATTATATCACTTGCTCTTTTACATTTACTGGTCCTGAAAAATATTTGCAAATAAGCAATTCCGGTGTTGCTGTTGCCCATTGCCGACAACAGCACAAACGGCAAAGCCGTTATAAATAACCGCGATATAACAAATTTCTATAAATTGCGTAATATAATATTATACATATACTGTTATATCATGAGTTGCTATTTCGAAAAGGAATTGAGTTACGAGAATGAATTTTTATTTAATACTTAACATGTGAACATTTAGTTAATATTTTTAAACATACAATATTAAATGTTATAAGAAATAAACGGGAAATGAAATTTAAAAAGCATTTCCTAGTTTTTGATACTAAAGATTTTTAGTGGGGAGATACGATATCAGAGATTAATAATAAAAATAATCATATGATACATGTATATGATAAATAAATAACAAATTAGCAACAAGTTCCTTAGAATATAAACAAAGAAAATATGAAACACGTTCATTATGTCATCAGAAAATACAATGACAAAACCAAGGTGCATAAAAACCTGTACGAAGAATATAGCTCTCGCTAAATTTTTTCCAAAAGTCAGCTTTCAGCTACGTGATTATCCCCGACAGTTTCAGCAAAAAACCCCTCTATTCTAATTAGATGTAAAAAATTCCTAAAAAAATTGAAAATGAATACAGAATTAAAATATTTTAAACAATAACCTGCTGCTTAGTCCTTCCACTTAGAAAGAAAACCATTTTATTCTAGACTACATTATAATTGTTCAACTATTTGCTTATTAAATATATCGACATAAAAATTTGGTATGCTATCATTCCTCTCGTTGGTATTGCAGAAGAAGAAAGTTAACATTTATATTATACGAATATGAATTAACAAAAAAGAATAAGATAAAATTACTTTGAAAAGAAAATGCTGAAATTTGCTATAAACGGACTATACGTAAGTGTTTATTTTATTACATTCCAAATAGTTATACCAATATCTTGTTACAGAAACAATGTCAAGCGCATTCCAAACGGCATCTCCATTTGATTCCAATGGTTGTAGAACAAACTGGAAGGGGCGAACGTGCTTATGACATTTACTCGCGTCTACTTAAGGAGAGAATTATATGTTTAATGGGACATATTAACGATGATATAAGTTCTTTGGTGGTAGCCCAGCTTTTGTATTTGCAGTCCGAAAATGCAAACAAACCGATACATTTATATATAAATTCGCCGGGTGGTGTCGTAACGGCGGGACTTGCCATATATGATACGATGCAATATGTGAAACCAGCTATTGCCACATGGTGCGTTGGACAAGCTTGTTCAATGGGTTCGTTACTATTGACAGCCGGAGAACCGGGAATGCGATATTCGTTACCAAACGCGCGAATCATGATTCATCAACCTTCTGGAGGCGCTCAGGTGCGTTGAATATAATATAATGATACAAATATATTTCAACAAATTACCGTATTTTCACAGGGCCAGGCTACTGATATACAAATTCAAGCCAAAGAAATTATTAAACTTAAAGAACAACTAACTAATATCTATGTGAAACACACAATGCAATCCTACGAAAGACTCCACGAACGTATGGAGAGAGACAGTTACATGAGCCCTGAGGAGGCTAAAGATATGGGTCTTGTTGATCACGTTCTGGTGCATCCACCAGCACCAGATACTAACACCATTACAGCTCCTACGTCTGATGAAGAGGATAAAAAGGATATATAGCTAAATTCGTTTTTCTACATATTGAAGCTGAAGCAATTTGACAATCAACTGCGATGGATTCCACAGTGTTTATTTAATAATAATGATTTTTGTACAGTTAAAGTTAACGTATAGTAAGACAAAAGAGCTGGTGATGGTATGATCTTATTGATGGATGACTGTACTGTCCAGATTATTGTTCATAGGGAATATCTTTGGGTTTATTATGTCTTATGGAGAACAATTAAACAATAGTAAACTCACACCTATGCGATACTTATGGAATAGAAGGCCATCATCGCTTTAACAAGTCCGGATCCTTGTCTGGATGCTAGTTATTAATTCTCTAAAATTCGGGGAGACAGCACACCTTTCAACTTCCCCTTTACTGACTTCTTTTTTTCTACAAATTTACCTTGTACGTCACCCAACCGGCTTTCATCTTCGATCAGTAATATATTATCAAGCGCAGCAGAAAGCTGGAACTATTAGTTAATATTTAGTTGTCTCCTTTTCAATTAAATCTTTGTACTTTGTCACAGGAAACACTGACAGTACGTCCATTTTTCAATAGTTTGCGTTTAGTGGCGTCCGTCCTAAAAAAGCCTAACCTTACACAACCAAATTCTTCATAACCAATTACAAATGTGATCTTCTGCACCAGCTATAACGAAAAACTTTTTTCGAATTTGTGTTTATTGAGTAGCTAATGGGGTGATATCTTCAATGCAATATTATTTCAACAAGAAGCGTCGACGTTGCCAGTAGTTATTTTTTTACAAAGTACAACAATAACGAGCCTAAATTGTTTCGACATGACTTACTTTTTTCTCATCTATTTTGACCTGAAATAATTCTCAAATGATTTGTGCCCAAAGCAATTATTTCCACATCTCGATTCTGTCAGGATGTTAATACGCAATGACTGGTCGCTCCCAAGCTGGACGAATTACGAGATCTTCCCTACGGAAACCATCAACAAAAAGGAGAAGCCAAAAGTACCGCTGTGGTCATAACCGTGAGAATATACCTAACCTCACTCTAAATGAGCTTTGTGCACGTTGAGCTTCAATATTTTTGTAAACGTTAAATGACCACTTAAATTTGCTAATTACAGAATATTTGATTTCAGTAATAAAAGATATGTTAATTTATAAAAGCATATTTCTCATGTGCGTATTTATGGGGACGTGGTCCCAAAACGCAGCCTAATCTAATCTAATCTACTACAAGTTTAATCCTTACATAGGGAAGGATTCAAAAATAGTTGTATATGATCCAAATTGTGTAGAGTTCATTTTTGTTTGAAATTACTATTTTGGAGCAAATTTCATCACAAAATGTTACCGTCTTTTCCCAGGCTGACTCTGCCAGTTACCACTAAATGCGCTTATTCTCAAAAGTCGCACAATACATGCAAAATTCTTGATAATTGTATACGCTTATTCTCAAAAGTCGCACAATACATGTAAACAAACGTATTCAAACACTCTCAATTGTATGGAATTTTTATTTTCTCAGTTGTATGAAATTTGTATTTTCTCAGTTGTTTGGAATTTGTATACAAATTATTGAGAATATATACTGTGCTGTGCTGCTTGAGTAGGCAGAACTATCTGCGCAATGCAGAGCCACAAAGCATAGTCATAGTTTCATGGCATTTCGTGCGTAGCGTCGCTAAAGCAACTGCAACTTGTTAACTAACGGTCGAAACCTCAGGAAATTTTCAGGCAGTTTGAAGATTGATGCTACCTAGTAATCTAACGCTCTTAATCCAGATAATCCACTATTTAATCCAGATTCCTCCTTTTGCTGATTTGAGTTTAAGTGTAAAGGGAGGCGGGGATATGCATATCTGTTCTATAAGTAATCTCTCTAAATCGATCCTGTACCATAATCCTAAATGATAAATGATAAAAGTGTGGAGCCGCCTATTTTATGTGTATGTGGTAGTGGGTAATTGCTTCATTTTCAACAGGGCACTATGGAAGAAAAAGTGTATTCTCGTTCGATCAGAAAGCAGGCTGTGAGCCTGCATGAGTAAATACACCCAAGTAAAGTTAATATGAATACAATAACGTAAAAAGCGAGAAAAAAGAATAAAGAACTGGAAGCTGAAAATGAAATGAAATAACAATGTCGCACTAAAAGTAAAAGTGAAGTCGTTCAGAATAATTGAAGGGTTCATACTAAGAAAAATCGAAAAGTTTACAGTAAGTTCGCTATTAGCAATGGAGAGCTATCAATTCAATCCCCATTTTGAGCATATTTAGGCTTGTCCGTGCGGGAATTTTTTGCTCATTGACTTGGTTTGGTGCAAGGGCTGTCTGTATAGAAAGTGGTTTGGATTGCACCTTTACAATAGGCTGCCATAAGCCGACATAAGGCACACTTAAGCAACCATTTCTTGGAAAATGAGCTCCACATTAATTTTTAACATATTATGTTCTCGCGGCACATGTCTTCTTAAATGTTGTTCCATTCGATGAACGGAGATCAACACTTTTTTGCATGAAGGACATTTCCATTTTTTTACGTTATCTAGTTGGTCATGCGCCGAATTTAAATGTTGATAACAGTTTTCAAATCAATCGAACCTTTACTACATTCTCTGAAGGTAATATCTAATTTAATATTTATGTTTTAGTTGGGAATTCGCGTTTGTTTTCTAAATAACTTTCCACCTGTTGTTCAAGGCGAGATGCAGAAGTTAAGATCTTTCTGCATAAAGGACACTCCCATTCTTTCAAATTGTCATTTCGCCCCTGAGATGTATTCGCAAGTTGACGATACGTAGGGAAACAATCAAACATTTGATTGCTCTCCGCACAGGACGTTTAGTGCAATCTCACGTTTTCTGATTTCACAATTTGCTTGGGTTTTCTCTCTTTTCTTCTTCGTTTTTGGGCACCCAATCTCTGTATTTTCATATCAAAGTAAACCTTACAAAATACAATAGCTGTAGCAGAAACATATATCCAGCTGCCACGATTTTTTTCCACCACTTCTTTTGATTTAACAAACATGCTGGTGGTTCCAATGTTACTTCTTCCAATTTAACAGGTAGCAGAGATTTTTTATTCACAATTATTCTTATTTATTAAAAGCAACTCTGTACTCTCTCCATTCACCACACTTAGTACTTCTTTTATAAACGGTGTAAAGGAAAAAACGGCTTTTAGCGGGAAATCAATACCATTGCTACATGAAAAATTGCAATTTTGAAAAAAAAGGAAATATTATTAATAAAAACGTAGAACTATGTTTCATGGTCGGTTTGATGTCCCTTCAAAAGTGTATCAATAACCCGCAAATTGAGCATTCAGCTTCAGCAATGATTAGATTTCTTGGAAGAAATATTTGCTTTGATATTGTTTAGTTTTAAGTATATACTTCTATTCAATTTCAGTTCTTAAATTAAATATATGTAAGTTCATTCAATTTTGTATCTTTCATTTACACATTCACATATCAACATGACCCAGTTCAATTGTTTATGCACTTGCATTTGCACAATCGCGTTTCTGTGTTTGTCCGTTTCATACAACTGACCACAAACAACAATATCATTTGTTACGTAATCCAGACCTTGAATTGTGTCATCGATCGTTTACATCAATTTGCTTATATTGCATTTTTGTGGCACACTTCAAGCGGTTCATATTGCCGGTAATAAATAAACGCAAAATGCAAGTGCATCATTTTTATGACTTTATTTTTAGCAACATAATTCTTAATTAGTTTATAAGAATTGTAATTTATAAGCCATAACTTCATCAATAAATTTGTCTTTGCACTACTACATTGACCGGTATTTTTGTTTAGTGGTTTCTTCCAGTTACAAGTGCTGGAAGAACCAAATATAATAAGTTGGTACGACTTGACGCAACGTCTTGTCGAATTATATCAACCAATTAGGCACTGAACATTCAAACAAGAAAATATACTCATAACAGTTTTGAACATTTTTTGGTGACTCCGACGTGATTGGCACGTATTCGTGATACTGAGGTATTGCGTTCACGTCACCGCATTCGAACTTAACAGATGTCAAAAAAATCCAACGTATTCGTTTGATCTTTCGCAACCGAATCCTTTACTGTTCCATTTCGTATTTGAAAAGGGAATGCCTTATTTGAACAGAGACACACTTTTTGCGGCTATAAAATCTTTGCCTGCTGATTTAAAACTGTATTTTTTGGCTATTGTCTATTGGTGGCATAGATCGTCGCACATTGACCTTAATCATTTACATGCACTGAAAATTTGTTTGGTGGTTTTGAGAACTGTAGACATGAAAATTCCTCCGGAACGTAAAGTAAGGCAATTTCATAGTCATTTTGGTAACCTGATAAAGAACCGATATTGAGATTAAGTGATAGACACCTTTTAGGTTTCTGCGCACAGTTCTGGACGGGTTAAACAGCTCATAACTCTATTTACGTTGACTCAGCTTAACGAACATAAACATTTGAGTTTACAAAGTTCATGTTTAAACATTAACTTAAGAGAATTATCAAACATACGCAAAGACCTTGATGCAATATGCAAAATTATTCTACAAACACTAAGGAAATGTTTATCGTGCGCGCTCTAGAGAAAATCCTTGCAGATAAGGATATAAAACGGTCCCAGAATTCACAATTGAAAAAGTCATGCGACGCAACCTTAGAAAAAATCAAAGCTGAATTAATTAGTGCAGGCCAAATAACGGAAGGCAATGAGTTGCCGTGCTCTGCTTTGCCAGTGCCGAAAAATGATACGGCTAGTATTATAAAAAATATGCAGCGTATACGGTAAAGAACTGATAACTGATCGGGCAATTGGTTTTTAAAATTCAGTTCTGGAGATACTACTTTAAAAGGTGTGGTTAGGGACATTAAAGCTTATCTCACCAAGTAATGTGGACGAATCGACAGTACCCTTAATTAACTTAATTAAGAAGAAGACACCAAGAGTATATTTACGTTTCTCAAGTGAGCGCGGTAAGGATAACAGAAGCAACCTTTTTTCATAAGTAGCCAAAGAGGTAAGCGGTTGCAACCCACATTTTTAAGGACAAACATGAAGAGTTGCTTTTGACCTGATTCAATTGAATCTACATAACACCTATAGGAGGTCCGCCGAGGCATACTTAAGTATTGGTCTAACTAAGCATATGAATAGGGTTTATCATAAATATGACCATACCTGGGCCGGCAAGAGACTTTAGTCAACCATTATTTAAAAAGGACTTTCACAAACGTCTGATAATTTTTAATGGATTTCTTTTTTTATATTTGAATGACCAAGTTTCCTCCTCGAGAATTGCGACTTGCATTAAGTTCAACCTGAAAACGCCTGGATGGTGTAATGAATTATAATTTGGAAAATGGATTTCTTCTGGTATATTTGATGGACAAAATTTCCTTCTTGAGAGTTGAAACTTGCATTAAGATCAGCTCATTCGCTTAACCTGAAAACCTGAATAGTATAATGTATCATAATTTCTTATGTCCTTTAGACGCGAGCAGAATTTTTGAAAGGCAACGCTTGGAGCTACCGTGTCAACCATCACCTCACCCTCATCAAAATTCATCATAGGCAACGAGACAAATTTTTCAAAAACATACCGCCATATTCGACCCCCGAGCTCAATTTCGCTTTTCGGAAAGTTGAAATATTTACCCGCCTTATTCCCGACAAATCGTTCGTCGTTGCTATTATTTGAAACTTTTATTGTACATATTATCTTTTAAGGAACAATTATGGCGGAGAACTTAATGCATTTGTTCATCCAATGTAACTGATATTCGGAATATTGTTATCACTTCAATTTATGTCATTTTAGAAGAAGAAAGTCGAAAAAGCAATTATAAAATTTCGTTGAAGGGAAAATGTTCAAATCTATAAGTGTATTATTAGTGAGTTTGAATTTTACTTTTATTTTAATTTTACTAACTTTTGAATTATTTTTCCTTTCGTTTCGCAGAAACAATGTCAAGCGCATTCCAGCCGGTATCTCCATTTGATTCCAATGGTTGTAGAACAAACTGGAAGGGGCGAGCGTGCGTATGACATTTACTCACGTTTACTTAGGGAACGCATTATATGTTTAATGGGACATATAAGTGATGACCTAAGTTCTTTGGTGGTAGCTCAGCTTTTATATTTACAATCGGAAAATGCAAACAAACCGATACATTTATATATAAATTCGCCGGGTGGCTACGTAACGGCTGGACTTGCAATATATGATACGATGCAATATGTAAGACCGCCTATTGCCACATGGTGCGTAGGACAAGCTTGTTCAATGGGTTCGTTACTTTTGACAGCCGGAGAACCCAATATGCGATATTCACTGCCCAACGCACGAATCATGATTCATCAACCTTCCGGTGGTGCTAAGGTATACTTCTTCACATTTTACCATTACGATGATTTCGCAACGCGATCTATGTGATTTCTCGATTTATGTACTCTTTAGGGCCAAGCTACGGACATAGAAATTCAAGCTCAGGAAATTGTTAAACTTAGAAAACAATTAACTAACATCTACGTGAAACATACGAAACAATGCTATAATAGACTCCACGAACGTATGGAACGCGATAACTATATGAATCCCGAGGAGGCGAAAGATATGGGACTTGTTGATCACATTTTGGCGCATCCACCTGGCCCAGGCGGCGGCAATAACGATTCGGGCTCTGATAAGGAAGATAAAAAAGACAAGGTGGATACAAGCGATGTGGAGGACAGAAAGGATAGGGAGAATAAAAAGGATAAAGGGGATAAAAAGGAAGAACAACATTCTAATTGAAGCAATTGGTACACCATCTGCGATTTAAAGCTATAAATGATTGAAAAATTATCGTACTGCTTTTTTTTTATTTCTTGTTTCTTTTTTTTTTTTTATTTAAAACGTAAAATATTAAAAATTTTCTTACGAAAAATAATGTGTATAAATTTAAATTTCTTAATCAGTTCTAAATCAGTTCACATTTGCATAGGGCAATAGACGCCTTCATTCAAGATATCATTTGCTTTTGTTTCATGTCCGCTCATTTAAAAATATTTTTAAAGAATCTTAGCGAATTTTTTGTGACTAATATTTAAAGTAATTTATGGCAAGATGACGAACATAATATAAATGTCCCAGAGAGTTAACTCAATTAACAAAAAAAAAATAAATAAATAAAAATATATTTAAACACGAAACTCTCGATAATCGCAGGAACAATTCTTATAATTTCGAGATCAGTTTGATGTTTATTATTATAAAAAGATTACCGATTAAGTCTTGGTATTTTAAACAAATTGAGAAGGCGTATTTAAAATTTGCAGTAAAATCCCTAAACTAAGCTTAATTGTAAATGTCAATAAGTTTATCTATAAATTTCAGTTCAAAATAACATAAGTACATATAAATATATTATTGAAGAGCCAAGTTATGACTCGGAATGAAGTACTTCTTTCTTAGTTAATGGCGGTATTAACAGTTAATGCCGGTAGTGTTAGCATTGCCGCCTAGTTGGTTATGAGCCAACATCAGAATATCTTTTTTCTCCTTAGGGAATCTTAACTCCCGTCCAGCTAAACGCGCCGTTTCTAATTCCCTTTCAGCTTGTGCCATCTCTAAGCCAAGCACGGGACTTTCTTGTTCACGGGCAATCCAATCTAAAGCCATTTGAGCGCGCATATCATCGTCCAAACTACGATTTGAATAATGGGCCACAACTTCCTGCCGGGAACATTGACGTTCGCGCATAGCCTTCAATGAGCCATTCCAATGTAGGAGTTGAAAAACGGTCATTAATTCTTGAAATTCCAACATGGTACGCCCTTTATTGGCTTCCAACATAAACCTAAAATATCAATTATTTTCCGATATAAATGAGATAAAATGAAATTAAATTAAAAAGTAATAGATAACCTGAAGGCCCCAATTCCCGTATCTGGACCGTCCCCTTCCTTCAGGTTTCCTTTGAAAGATGCTCTAGCATCTTGCACTGCCTTTTCTATGAATTCATCGGTAATGCGCCTCGATGGATGCTCGTTAAAAACTGAATTCATTAGAGCTATCTTTGCCGAACTGCGACGTGCTTCAGCTTTTGTGGGGCAATTCTAAACAAAACATTAATGTCTTATAAATTTTGCGTTTATATTGAGCTTGTTTTTTAATTATTAATTTTAGAATGTAAATTTATAGAAATAATAAAACTAATTAATTTCAATTATTGTTTGAGTTGTTATTAATGATAACGTAATGTGAGAGTGCACCTGAAAACTGCCAAAACAACTGCCCCCCGGTAAGGTGACGTAGCACACATACGGCTGACTGTTTGATGGTACCGATTCATAAATCACTAACGCCCCGTTTTTCAAGTCAGCACCGCGGGCTTGTTTAATTTGCCAAAACTCTTGTAAGGCTTCAACAACATTGACTGGAAATAAAACGAAGAAAAAAAAAAGAGTTATGAAGAAATCAATATCATCGCTTCCAGTAACTTCCGGAACAATAAAGAACTAATCAGGGTACGACAATAGGAAAAGGAGCTGCTCTGTTTCTCTTAAGTTAAATCCTATCGCAAGTAAGAGCATAGCTTCTGTTGAACAAACATATACATAAATAATAAATAGATAGACGTATTTCTGCAGTACGTTTGTATTCTTTAATAAATTCCTTTACCAATTTCTGTTAATACCGGATAGAAAGTTAAACAAGACATCTATCAAAGTCGTATAAACCCTTGACCAGATGAACCCGCGAATTGCTCGTGAGCAACCACATGTTTTAGCACGACCCTAACAAGGCAAATAGTGCCTACTAGCTTAACTATAGACACGTTCGTTAAGCGTACCACTCCTTAATTTCCTTATTTTATAGGGAAGTTATGAAGATTAGAAAAAAACGTAGAACGGGATTTAGTAAAGAAAAATGTACTTATGAAATGTAAATCCTATAAATGTAAATTCAAATGAGAAATGTCAAATCGCTTTGGTAACATATAAGGCAGTAAGTGATAAAGTTTTGAAGAGAGAAGTAACGTAGATTTAATAATGATCTGCAAAATTAAAAAAAATTCATATTGAACGGGATTCTTACCACGATAATCATTCTCGTCATATAAGCCAGGTATGGTTGGCAAAGCCCAAAAGGGATCTTCTGGATATACCATCATCTTCAAGTCTTTTGGTATTTTTTTAATAGGCACACGAGATCGCTTGCGTTTTTATTTATAATGTAATTAATTCATCGTTATCTACATATATATTCTTGCTTATTACTATATATATATATATATGTTTATATAAAAATAATGATTCGGAAATCGACGCATACAATACGCTGGACTTTCTAATTTAGGAAATTGAAAAAGAAATTCTGAAATTTATTGATATATGATTTATGAATGATTCGCGCACATATTAAATTCGCATGTCTCTATAGATCACAAAATTATCCAACTTCTTATGATAGCAAACTTTACATAGTAAACAAAAGTCATGTAACATTGCGAGTATTTATTTTGAAAATCATATGATGAAAGTTTAGTTTGTGCCTTAAGTTTTTCGTTTTCTGTTATTGTCTATACAAGAGGCACAAACATGATCGAGATTATAAAAAGACTGGCTTAAGCGACTGTGAACTCTACACGTATACTTTGAAGTTTGCAGTTTCCCGATTTGAATACTCTTGGTGTGTTTTAGATCCTCGATTTTTTTTCTGTTTCTTTTTTGTATACGTATAGTACAATCAAAACAAATACACATAAAACGTCATGTCAATACAAACACAAGCATATACAAATAAAAGTTTAAAAAAGAACAAAAGACTACTAATAAACTCGTTTCGTTTTCTTTGTATTTATTTTCACTCGTCTCTTAGGTTTTTCTTTATGATTTATTTTTATATATATGTATATATGTGGATAGTGATTAAAATTTCAGTTTCTGCTTTTCTTCAAGCCACTCTCCTCCTTTTTTGCACTAATCAAATATGCTTCAATATCCCACTAAATGGTTCAACTAAATGTTAAACGATTTTGTGCTCCAGTAGATGAGCAAATTTACTAAATTCAATATCAAACCTACAATAAATCTATGCACTACAAAGAAATATATGAATATATAAAAACATATTTATATGTATGACTTCGTTTGTATAGTTAAAAGCCCGTAGAAACAAAGGCAACGACCAGCGCTCAATCGACACTTTATGCAGACTAAAAGAGGTTTGGTTTAGTTACGAATGCAACAAATACATACCCATATATCGCATCCAAACAACAACAGCAAATGTTCTCATTCAAACCTGAATTTAAACTCAGCAAAGCAGAAATAAAACTAAAAAAAAAGATATTTTTTGTTATTCGCTTTCATGTCCACCGCCAAAACACGAGGGGGAATAATAGAAAAGATCTCTAAAGTAGACTTATGCCTAAATAACCAAAACTTCTAAATTGATATAGCAATATCCGTTCGTGCATAGTCCACACATCCCACCAGCGTCACGGGTACAATAGCTAGAAAACTAGAAGGAAAAGCTAAACAAAATTCGTCAAATTTTTTATTAATATAAAACCATTTGCAATAAATATCGATTTAACTTTTCGTAATTTTCAGTATCTATTTAGCCGGATCTTACTTTTTCTCTCTTTTTTGCAATCGCTAGGTAAGAAGAAAGCAAGCTATTGCAGGTTAAAACTTTTTATATTTACGATCTGATTTCTTTGCCTTTTTACATTCTCCTAGAACTCTCTATATATTCTCGATTAAGGCCAGTAACTGCGTTTTAACTACAAAATTTGTCTAGAAACGAATTCTCTTCAGTTTAGCGGAAAAATCAACAAAAATAATCCTACCATTGATTTTTTAAGGAACACCTCTTCTGTGTTTTAATTTACAAGTTTAACTTTGCTGTTAAATTCTTTCTTAATATTATTCGCGCAATTCGCTACAAATTCCTGGCTTACTGGATGGAAGCCCATTTCTGGATAATGTTACTGTTGGCATTTTAAACGGGTTTACTAATCCATCAACGATTAATTGTCGGCTTAACTTGAAATTTCGCATACCATTATTGTAGAAATGGAAATAAATTCTTCAACGTTGCAGAATTCCGTAACATACCTTATAGAACGGCATAAGTTTATAACTTCCCCATCAAATTTTTATTATACAACGTTGTAAATTCCCGTACAAAGCCACCTAAAAACGTATGGATGCCATTACGATACATCGCCTTATAAAATTCTACGTTGGACCGAATAAATATTTTGTTCGTATTTGTTACTATTTTATGAACATTTCAGTATAGGTATATATCATTTTTAGCTTTTTCAAATCGTCCATGAGAAGAAGCCAAATTGCACGAAGGTGTAATTCGCAACTTATGCTTATGCGCTTTTAAATACGTACCTATGTATATATATATGTATATAACACAATGTTTCTTTTCTGTGTTTTTGCGAAGGTGAGAAATAATATAATAAAAACAGGTAATTATAGGATGTTTCCACCCTTTAAATAATCATGGCATGCTTACATCGATTGTATCGTTTTAGCACTTCAAAATTAGTTACACCTTCGATTATAACTGTCAGTATTTTTTAAGATAGTAAGTAATCTAGTAGCTAGTAGTAGTAGCAGCAAAGAGAGTCTGCTTCCATTCTCAAAAATCTTGAAGGTAAATATAAAATCTGCCTTGTCGATATTTTAGTGGTTGTCAATTCTAAGCAACTGCGAATATAAACTTCATAGCGCATCTCGGACTTTGCATTAGTGTGTTTGAACCCATGTTAAATGACATTCCTTACCTGAATATATCTACAGATAGGTCTACCAGGTTAACTTTAAAAACTTTACTAGCGGTAAATCATGAACGCTCCCTAAGCGGAATTTATTTTGCATTAACGGCTAAGTTGAGATGCTCAGCTAAAAATTAATAAGTGTAATCAAATATTCTTGGTATAGTTGAAAACATATCTACATAGGAATTCCAATTTTGCTACAAACTAGACATTGACTATGAGAACATTTCGAATCATATTACAAACAAGATATAAAATTACTATGAGGGCAAATATGTCCTAAAAGTTTTTTCTTTTGTTATATTAATGAGCAAAGGAATTCTTATTAAGAAAGGATGAAAAGGCGATCTGATTTCTTTTTTACTTACCACGACCGTAGCCTCGTGTATGATTGGAAAAGCTTTGCACAACGGCATCAACCGCTTCACGTAGCACTTGTTTGGTACGCACATCTGCAACAACATCATGGCGGAGTCCTCCGAGTCCTCCGTCTATAGTTCTACTTAATGCAGTATTTACTTGTTGTGTAAGCGCATTAGTCGTAGCTGCAATCATTATTGTTATCGTTTTTGTTTTTCTTCTTCTTTATTAATATAGAGATTCAATAATATTTGAAGTTTTAATGGCAAATTTACTATTCGACTTAGTTGAGATTTTGGTATTATCTGAAAGTATCAATCAATCAAGTCAATGAATTTTCTTATAAAAAACTTATTCAAAAATTTATTATTCGATTTCTAAAAGTCAAATCGTCTTATAGGCAAAAGAAGAAGAAGAAAAAGGAGAAAACAAAATGTATTTGCAATTTCATGAAGAAAATGCTATGGAATTAAAATGTCAGCGTTAATTGTGCCCCTATAATAGTAATCGATCGGAATAATTCTTGCGCTTAACATTAAGATGATCCGCACCAATTTCGGGGTCATAAATTTTCGGAAAAACTTTGCGTCTTGTTTCGTGTTATTCCATTAGGGTGGCGAGGAAGTGTACGCCATGGGTAAGAACTAGACCAAGCAGAGAAAAACTGATTACGGATGTATGAATAAAATTCATCAAAATATATTGGAGCCTTACATGCTTTATAACCATTTTCTTTTTTAAGCTTAAAAAGGTCATATCGACCCATGAGGGATACTAGAACTTGGGGAGATAGTTTTACGGTTCTGCATGTTACGTGAATTTGAGAAAAAAATAGCTGTAGGCACGAAGTTATTGTATTTTGCTTTTGGAAGGGGAAAAACTAGAGTGATTGAAAACTTTTCTTACAAAGCATAAAAATATATGAGCTAAGAAAACTTTTTTAATAAATTTTTTAATAAAATTAACAAATTAACAATTAAAAAATGCATACGCATAGACATGACGCCAAAAAATAGAACGCAACATTTCTATTAAATGTATGATCGACCTGAAACGAAGAAGAAACAAAGCATTTATGAGGAGTTCTACAGCATGCTTGGAAAACATACTGCGGCCATTAACTTTATATCATAGAGCAGGTCAGACTTTAAATATATTTCAAGAAGACATGTAAAATTAATTCTCGTTATTGTCATTGTTATTACTTTGAACTAGTACGAGTACGTCTTAAGCCCGATAGCCGCCAGTTCTTTTGTCGTTTCACCATTAATACTGGAGATAGATTGATTGGAGGTGCTTCCACGTATATGCTTAAACGGTCCATACGTTCTTTAGGCGTTAATTTATTCATTGAATTAGTTCTTACGTTACAGCAGGTACTATCAGAGAGTCGGACTGTTGTAAAGAAGTTGTATCGGGATCTTTTTCCATTTCCTGACCGAGCAATTTCCTATTCATGCATTGTGCACTTGTATCAACAGCATTTTTACGAAACTCTCCTAATTCGGGGAGATTTCCTCACACACAAAATTTTCTTAAGCGTGGGTTTCATCTATGTGCATCTATGACTGTCTCATGTAAGTCTCATCATACAAATCACACTATGGTGGCCCTCAATAGCCAACAACGTTCGTATCGTAGAAGGCTTGCGTACGGGGAAAAAGGTATCTTTGCAATCAACATAAAATTGCTAGTTACGCGACCCTGCAGCCAATCTGGCAAAGTATTCAAATTGTTGTAGGCAAAGTATAATTTCAACAAAGCATATGTATCTAAAATTGAGACTTGCAGTAGTTCGAGTGTCAATGAAGAAAAAAAAACGATATATTTAGAAAGCGGATGTTTGGCAAATGCATCTTGACCCAATTGCATAGAACAAAAACGAGGTACATCTGCGAAATAATCCTGCATTAGATTAAAATATTTTGCTATAGAGCTGCGAACTCCCTGCGAAGTCCCTACAAGAAAAGTTAAAAAAACTGATTTTTGCCTTAAACTATTTATAACCACGAAATCACAAAAGTGCGAAACTCGTTGAACCTAATGTCATAATACCTAATAGAATCAAAAAATGTAGAAAGAGTAAAAGATGAATAAATTGAAAAAAAGAAACACTTCTGCTGCCACCAAAAGCAAGTAAGTCCTTTGGGAAAATCGCGAATGAAACGGGCAATAAGGAATTCGGTATAGTGAGACGAATTGGAAAATGTTCGAATCTGTCAATATATTTAAATTCGATTTTTCAGTAAGTTTGGACTCTGGGCTCATTTATGCAAATTTTTTAGATACAAATAAGTCAATGGCATATGGCCCTATAGTAATTTTCTTGGCAATGGCTAGATAGCGCACTTATGACTTTGACGGCTATAATTACACCTGCCTGTGTATGATATAAATTTTACGTCTTATAAAACGCGCGTAAAGACAAGTCGAATTATGTATTTACAAGTTTATGTATGCGTAGAAAATTTTCAAAGAAAACTAATATAAGTTCACAAGGCATTTACATAACAGGATAGTTGCTGTCTGAATATGACGATGACGATAACTCGTCAAGTAAAGCAATCAAAAACCTATTAAAAGAAACAGCTGCGAGTAGTAAATGTGCATGCACGCACGCACGCATGTATTTACGTGTTTAGCAGATGTAAGTTGTTATTATGTGAACATTATGTGCACTGAAATAAACCATAATGATAATAAAATGAACAGAGAGAGAGAGAGAGAGAGAGAGAAAGTACTGCTTGTGCTATACAGCGTGCGGTACAGTCCTTCTTCAAATCATTTTCTATGACATTGTTTAGCGTCCAACTCTCTAGAAGGAGGGAGGGAGTTTTGGATTTTTACAAAAGCTTCCAGGTGATGCTTTTCAAGCGGTAATCCAGTCTATAATGCATATCTCTATGGATTAGGAACCCTTAAGAACTGAATATAACTGATTCCCAGTACAAAATGTGATACAAGGCTATAGTGGATAGGCGTTGTCTGTCGAGATCTTTAAAAGTTTTTTTAAAGCGCGGTACATTTTGATATTTGAAAGCACGTTAGCTGTAGCAATAAAAAATTATTCAATTGCTCTTTCCAGATAGCTGATCATTCTATAATTGTATTGCAAATTATAATTCACTAAGGCATTTAAATTGCAAAGATCGCTTGATTATCGTCTTATTAAGTAGTCAGGGGCTCCTTCCTAAACTGAAAAATAAGTGAACATAAATGCATTGCTTTTATTTTCCTTTTAGTTATCATATAAATCTCTTCCGCAACGTCAGCGCGAATAGATTATACAAACACATGTTCAATTATTGAGAAGTGTAAACAAATGTGGACGCTTATTCTCACATGGTTGGCATTTTTATACAAATTATTTGGAACATATACGCTTAATCTATCTTGGGGAGAGTACAGTAATTTTCTCATACAATTTGTGTAGTTCAGTGCAGATGTCTCAAGTTGCCAAGTTTCACACAGAGCTTTTATTTATCTAAAGTTTTTCAACGTTTCTTTAAAAACTTTTTTTCAACCATTTACTCAAGTGTCTGCACTCTATCTTCGGCAAATCGGAGATACTCTACATACTAATTATTGAGTATATGTATAAAAAAAATAAAAAAATAATAAAAAAAAAAAATCACAAACAATTGTATAAAGCATATCATAGTACCAAACATATTAAACGGCGGTAAATTGAGATCTTGCACTCAAGTCATGTACGTCTGCGCACACTACGATTCGTTACCGCGAACAGACACTTGCTCGATCCTGACAAATTAAAAGAGTAATTAAGTGTGTTTCTCATTTAAACATTTGCACGTTTAAATAACAAAATAAGATGTAAAAGCGGAAATGTAAGAAAGAAAGATTGGTAAATTTAAAGGCAAGATATCGCTAAGTAACCGTTAATCGCTGAGAACTATCTTTTCAAACGATGTCTTTTAAATCATGTCGTTTTTATAAAGGCCGGTGACATGTTAAGTGTAAAAAGTAAATCTTCTCATTTATAGTAAGCAGAAATTCACATTAGCTGCAAACTGAAACTTGGTACATAACTTAATCTATATATATATACACATATATATATATATATATATATCGATAGTTAATGGCTTCAGATCAAGCTTGAACATAAGCCTGATAAGCTTAGAAACTGCCCCTTATGAATTAACCACGTTACGCAAAACACTTCAAAATTCGAATGTTTTGTTTTGACTTGAAGTGGGGGGTATCGAAGATTCGCCTCGAGGCGAATATAAACTGTTTTTTTCCTTCAGGCTTATATAAATATTTTTGTCTTTGCTTACTTGTAACAAGTTTTGTATGTTTCATATTTATTTGGTTTTGTACACCGGAGACTGTTTTTTATGTTTTCTTTAAGAAGTATCGCGTGCAGCGCATATTAAATTGGGTTAAAACTTTAAATGCCGATGAGATACATGCATACGTGTGCACGTAAATATAAAACAGGATTGAAGTTATGTGCAGCTTGGGCCGAATTTTTCGATATCCATCACCTGTATTGAGTTGAGAGACAACAAAAGAGTATATATATATATTTATATATATACATATGTTACACTTGTTTTGCGGCAAATTTTGATGTACGTAGGCCTGAGTCAACTTAAGCGCTCATAAATGTATGAAAAAAATTTCAAACTATTTGAAAAGAGGCAACGTTCTTACAGTCAGTCGCATATTAATATCCTCACTACTCTTATAGCACCTAGGCATACTTATCAAAACCAATATAATAGAAATAATTCCATACCTAAACTAGACGGTTTAAAGACTTTCACGATCGGAATCATGGAAGCAAGAAACTAAAACTATCTACAAATTGGATATGGCTTCCTAAACTTCGCGGAGAAATATCAGTGCAGCTTTGAGAACTGCCCGTGCTTCCTAATCTGTCGAAATCTGTTATGGGTCTGCAGGTGGTAAGTTGCTATGTAAATGGGAAAATTTATTGAATTTTCAAACTTGAAATTCTGAAAGCCTCTGAAGATTTTGCCCAATCCTTTTTCCCTAAATTTTCTAAACCATTTCCGTTAAACGGTTACTTGCGACATACAGTCAGTCCCATTCATTTTACAACATTGTGTGAAAGACGAGTCAACGTAAGCAGTCGTATAAGGCAACTAGAAAATAAAACAAGAAAAAGCTTAGTTCAACAACACGATCATGGGGGCTGAAAACCAAAATATAAAAGTTTAACGAACAATAGTCTATATGCTAGATGTATGTATAAACGTTAGTCGTTACCATTTTTTACTTCGTCGGTGAACGTTTGTCAAATTAAGACTTTTCTTCACAGTGCTGTTTGTAATCTTTACGCCATAGTACAAATTGTCTCCGTCTGTAATGCGTAGGCAACATCTATCTTTGCATCTTTAGACAGGTAGAGTTCTGTGTCAAAAAAAAAGAGGGAAAACCCGAGAAATTATTATTTTCCTGAACAATTTGAGCTAAACTTTGAAAAAATCAATTTACAGTTTGTCATATCACCTCTAACAACTTCTACGCAGACTTGTGGGCAAACTCATGGTGTGTCCGCTATATATACCGTATCTTAATCCAACTTCGGCCTGCGAATCACTAATGAAAACAAACGAAAATGAGCTCCTTTTAAGGAATTGATGAGGGACGATGGAAAATAGATCACACACGATGGATGAAGCTGCACAAAGGATGGAATGGCCCGGAGTGAGGCCACGTAAGTTAATGCCTTGAGTTTAGTAAAAATGTAAAGGAATCTCTAATTGAGTGCCCCAAATTAATGGATTTTACACTCGCTTAGAGCGCGTAATTGAGACCAGAATCCACAGAAATGCTTAATGCTAAAGACGACATCTTCCGTTACGACGATATCAAGCGAAAAGTTTCTTTAATGGCTCAACAAATATTTCGAGACCTTGGTAGAGCAGGTCGCTGCAACCAGAGTATATTCCAAATTTTATTTCGTCTAACTACCGTTTGTGTCGCTCTCCACACAGCTCCCTTAGTAAAGCTGGCTGTAAAACGGGCCTAAGCTAACAACTTAGCCCAGTTTTTCACATAGGGGTCCCAGAAATTATAGAGAGATTCCAAAATCGATTAAAATGGAAAAAAAAAGAAATCATTTAATATATAAGAAAAGTGTTTCTCGATATTGATAAAAAGAACGATGAACTTTTCTTCCATTCATTAAGTTAAGTTAACAAATACCCTAAGAGTATAACGTAGCCACTATGAGTAGAGTGTAATAAAATAAAACACATCCGCCCGTACTTCCTTGTATTAAGTAAAGAAAATTTTTATGTTTTCAAAATCCTTCTTTATTCATTAATATCGCCTTGTCCGTCCAAGAATGATCAGTCCAATTCTCTCCAAATTTTCGATGACTTTTACATAAAACAATTTCTGAAGAGGTTCAAAATACGCTTCAGTTTCTGCAACGATCTTTACTTCGTTTGCTGCAGAGAAGCAAAAATCACAGAAAATACGGGATCACTTGCCAGGTACTCAGCAATGAGTTTGCAAGTAACTGTAGCAATAGGGCAGCAGTTCGTGATAACAATACTCACCGAGTTGAATGGAAATATGGAATTGAAAATAATTGGTGTCTTCTCAAAGTAGAAACCGAACGTAATTGCAGGCATACAGACAAGAAGTTTTTCAATTATTAAATTTACCCCATAAGTTAAAATTTGTAACTTACGCTAGGAAAGAATTTGGTAATAAGAAGATTTTGTCTTCGGAGGATTGCTTTTAAAAGTTCTGTCTGGGCGAGAAATTAGGATACGTATATAATTGAAATTTTTGCACAGTGGTCCTTGAGTACGACAAATATTTCTTAATTCCGTCCCATCGGCTGTTTGATGCAAAGCGAGTTACTTGCAGAAGGTATGAATAACCAAAGGTACAACTCATTTAATAAAACTATCGCCACATTCATTAAGTGTACACAAAAAGAAACTGTATGGAGTATGGTGATATGTGCCTTTCGTATGGCGGCATTGAAATAAATGACTTCCAATATGTGGAGCAAGAATTAGTTCTGAAAAGACCGCGTTGATTTGAGTAATGTAACCAAATATATTCCTGTTAGCAATTTTGCACTGATTTTTTGAAAGTATAATGATTGATGGTTATGGCTATATTGCACGTGGGAAGAAAAAATATACCCAAGCATTCTTCTTTCAACGTAATGAAGTAATGAACGGACAACAGACAACCGAACTGAACTATAAATAATTAGCGAGCTTATCAAATTATTGCAGGCCTCACATAGAGCGTGCTCTAGTTATTTTAATATCAATAGCAAATAATGTCCCTCTGTGCATTGAGCGTATGCTTATCACGAAGTACCCACTTAGTATCCATCTTAACTGAAGTATTCAGCATTCGTCGTGGTGATGATAAAAGGGTTTTCGCACTACAAATGTGAAGATACAAATCACTTTTGTATAAGTAGAAAATTACTTACTGCAAAAGTGTTGACATGAGTGCCTTCTGTTAACGCCTTAGAAGCTTGCTAAATAGAAATATTATATAGAAATACTTTATACAAAACTTTGGCCAGATGATTGGCTGTTGCCGTAGTGCACTAAAGTGCTCTTTTCTTTTCCGATGTGATTAGTCGTTTTTGCCTTCGAGAAGCATTATAAATAACATTTATATATACATACGCATAGCATAGCGTTTGCCTAACATTTGTTCATAATTAATTTAAAATTCTGAACACAGAAAAAAATCCTCAATGCCCACCCGGTATTATACATTAGGAATATTTAGTTCTTCTTTCTTCTTTTTTAGATTGAGGGTGTGGTGGGGGGGGCAGTGAACATGAAAGTTTCGGTTATGGCCGAATATAATTTTCTTTCTTGGTTATTTTGAAATGAATCCCCGTCTAGATTGCGGAAATGCTTGTATTTGCTGAAATGATGTATTGAAACGAACGTCATTGCAGAAACATCCGCTGTACAGTATTGCAAATGATTTTTGAAATGTACCTGGAATCAAGTAACGCATTATTCTGTCAACTAAATTTTTGTTCAGCATAATGTTGAGTAAAGAGAATAAACGTGATTGCATGGGTCAGCGTGTGTTAGCGGACAAATAATTACATATGAATGTCGTCTTAAGCATAAATTTCGAAACTTTTACACGGGTTGAGAAAAACTTTTTTCTTGGCTACAGATTTTCATTAAATTGCGGTTGTAGCTCGCTGAGAAGAACAAGACATTCACATACTACTTATGCATACTTTTTGCGAGTAGCGTAGCGAGACAGCAGACGACATAAAATATAAATAAAATAAAATTTACAAAGTTGCTGACAAGTACGAGGAGGAGGATGAGTATTTGTCTTTGTTTTCTTTTTTTTTTTTTATTCTCCTCATTCCCTTATTTTTCGCCTCTTTATTATAATAAATGAATTTTTTACGAGCAAAACATTTAACTGTGAGTTATAAAAAAAAAAAAATTATCTAAACTTTAAAAACTTGTTTTTCGATGTAAGGTTTTTTTTTCCTTTTTTTTGAAAAATTTACTCAAAATGTTCGTTTTTCGAAAGCAATTAATACAAATCCCTATATCTTTATCGTCCAATCACATAAACAACTTTAAAGAAAAACAAAAAAAAAATTCTTACATTCATTGGATGAAAGCCGATTGAACAGTGCGTAGTAGAAAACGACTACGAGGTAAGATCTAATTAATAAAAAGCAAGCTTACGTGCAAAAATGAAAAAAAAAGACATACACTTTTAAATCAATGGCACAACAACTTGACGATTTGAAGCGATTGCCGGCGGAACACTATAAATCACGTAGGTTATTACAAACGTTTTAAATTTAAATCACTAAAGCATTTTTGAATTTTATTTTTCTTTTTAATTTTTTAAGCAATCCTCTCATTTGCATTCACTTGTCTTGATCAGAGAATAAGAAAACTTTTAATTTTTAATAAACAATTTTTGGAAATTTTATTTATTCAATTATCAATGGGATCAATAATAGACATGTAACATTTTAATATGCGCAGACAAACGCTTATAAGCACATATATATAAAAATGTTGTATATTTATAATGTAGACATACTTGCATAGATTCCAACTCTAAAAAAGTGTATTTCCGCTTTCAAACTCAAGAAACCGACAAGCGTTACGATAAAATAACTACTAACGTTGTCAACTCGATCGCATTTACCTTAAACACTAACATACATATGTATGTATGTATATATGTACGTACGTACGACGTACATACTTGTCATGCATATATATTTATACATACATGTACATTCCGTTGCTTCTCGCTGCCGTTCACAAGTTGAAGCTAAATAGTCTGCATGTACTCTCGTCCGATGGAGATGAAAACCAAACCACAAGTAGAAAAAAAAAGCGCAGAAACAGCAACAACAACAACAACAGCAATAACAACAATAATAACAATAACAAAAACAACATTACAAAAACCAAAATCAACAGCAGCAATTGAGAATGTAAACACCTCTCAGTCAACGTCGCAAACACCGCAATCGGGGCAGGCAGCTACTTGCCTTGATAGATTAAAATGAAGCTCAGAGTGTAGTCTGATTAATGACATATAGAGTTTCACATATTATGACATACAGAACGACGAAAGGACAGACTAAGTGGTCCGACGGGCGCGGGCATGGACGTTTGTAGGGACATATAGATAGAACAGACAGACAAAACGACAAGCATACGCTTGAGTATGTAACCCTTACATACAATGCATATATATATACACTAAATAACTAAATATGTACATAAATACATACATACATACATACATACACATAGCATATAGACGGCAAAAATACAACAAGAAAAGCATATCGCAGAACACACATAATATGACGAAGATCGATAACATTTATTGTACACATAAATATGTATATAGCTTTAGTGTAGACATATATTTACACATTCACATATATCGGTAATAACGGAGGCACACAACTCATTATTAAAGCATACAACAATATATGTATCTGTATGTATATATATCATCAGAGTTTCCCAGTCGTCGCTTATAAAAGGCTTTCATATCCTGTTTTCTTTCTGGTTTAACAAAAAACAAAAGTAAATAAAACAAAAATAAATAAAATCAATTCAAAAATTCTGCATCATTTAAAAACACATTTTAATAATAATCAGCCGTTTCGTACACGATGGTCTGGCTGGGTATTCTCATAAAAATGTCAACATTTTTGTATTGGCTCGTTTAAAGAGAGGCCGTCCGTCGAAGCGAAGTTTAAACATGAAGAGGAGAATCAAACGAAACATACACATAACGGTATAAATATGCAATGAAGATTTTTTAATAATTTAAACACAACAACCAAATTACATACCGGTTTTTTTAATACTTAAAGATAATAATGAATACACATTCAAACATATATACATAAAAACATACATTCATTCACTCATACACATGTGCGCGTGCGCTGTGTTTGCGATGTATGTACATCATCATCATCATCATCATCATCATCATCATCATCGTCATCATCATCACACACATTATACACACGAGAGGAAAAACGCAACCGAAAAAAATGTGGCTGTAACTTATTTGTCGACTTAATTTTAAGTCTTCGAAGGGAAGTGGGTGACTGCTTATGACACAGAAAAAAGAATGTTTTGTAGATACTGTATGCAAATACTAATACATATATAGCGTTAAGCTTGTGTAAACAGATACTTATTATTCTGTTTATGTGTATGTAAACTGCTGTCCGTAGCTGTAAATTAATCAAATGTTAAACGATTGTGGTACACAGCCTTTCGATATCTGTACGCAATCAAAGATATTTATATACATATATATATATATATATATATATATATATATATGGTGTTGAATTGCGCAAATACTTTGCCTACACTATTAATATATTTACTAATATGTTCACATATCAACATTTAAGTTTTAAAATTTTCACACTTTTTCATAGCTTTTCATGTACTTGAACATATATGAATACATATGAGTGAATATGAAAATGTGGATTGTGCATAGCTAGCGGATGATAAACAAGCTTCAAATCTATGCATTTATATGCTGGGAAGTAATGCGTAGAAACTCAATACACATAAAAAATTATCTACGATGCGAATTTGATTGTGAGATCGATCGATCGATAGCTCAAAATGGAAATATACGATTGAAAGTATAATTTACGAAATTTATGAAAAAACAAGCGATAAATGAGGACCAAAGAATTGCTTGCATTGAAGATTGGAAGGCAAAAAACAAGTCTGTGTGCTGGGCCGTCCGTGCCGTCTATTGCATTGCATGTTTTATAATAATGTCGTTGGAGCGATTCAGAAAGTTGACTTGGTCTATGGTCTATGTTAACATCGGCTGAACCCGCTGAACGGTAGAGAGAGATATATTTTGCATCGAGAGCAATATTAGAAAAATATCTAAACAACATATGTACTGCGTAAAATATTATTATTATTATTATTATTATTATTATTATTATTATTATTATAAAAGAAGAAGACATTGAGCTCTAGCAACACAGGCTGACAGCTCTATTTTATAAAAGTCCATTAAATATTGAGCCTAATAGTTTTAATAATGTAATCAAAATAGCCTAACAACATATGTACTGCATAAAATAAAATAAATATCATTAATTGAATTTCAATTTTATTCTTCTTCTCGTTTAGTCACTTAGTGATAATGTCGTCATTGAACGAGTTTCTGGCATATTGCCCTTTCAAATGCAGGAAGGCAAAGGAAGAAACAGCCGACGGTGTTTATTGAATTTTTAATTCAAACAAATTAACATGAAAAACTCGTACGTGTGAAAATAATCACGTAAAGACCTCGTCATTATAGATAAATGACGAGTATTATTGAAAAACACTAATATTTGGATATTTACGAGTGTTTGAAGGAGAGGTGAATTGCGCGGCTTTTGTAATAAAACATAGCGTTTGCTATGTTAATAAAAAATACTTTGTTTTTTTTTTTTATTTTTCTACGGAAAATCGCTGTTCTCTCCACTTAGCCGGTAATTGCCTGCATAATCATTAACACTATAGCAAAAGAAAACGAAATTTATATTGAGTTTCAGATAATGGCAAAGAAAAAAATAAGGAGAAAGAAGCACTTTTGCCTGTCAATCAAACTTTAATATTAATGAGACCGATTTTAACACGGCTTTAAGTCTTAAGCATATAAAAGCCAGTGTATCATGCACCTGGAGTCTCAGTCTGTCTTGAGAGTATGAAAAACTGGTTTCAATTTCTTTGGTTAACGTCATTGGCCTCCCGGTCATATGCTGTCCCCCGAACAACAAGTCTAACAAAGTCGTACATCATAACTAATTATACCCTGAATTTGGTGAAAACTGTACATACGATTTTACTTACATGCAACGCGAAAGGTATACAAGTTTAGATGAGCACTGAACATTACTCATTATTCACTAATGCATTGTGTAGATTCTCAAATTATTGCTCGGCAATTAATTTACTGGAATCATTTCGTTAAAATTTATGACGTAACGAATAATTTCACTTTAAAAGCGATTAGCGAACAGGATAGATCTCATGCTAAAACAGCAATTATTCTCAATTGCGAGTGTAAAACGACGCAAAATCTTATCTTTGAAGCATCACAATTCCGTTACTTCAATAAGACGTATCAATGGCTGTTGTGGGATTTTCATAATAATAACTGCTTTAGCCATTTGCAACAATCGGGACTCAATTATTTAGGACCTAATGCCCAAATTGTGTTTTTAAAGTATGAAGAGCCACATTATCTACTTTGGTGGGATGTACATTCGAAAGGGCGTCATTTAAAAGCTAATCTCGAAATGCATTTAGTAGCAAAAGGCACATACATTAACGAGACCCTTCAATTCGTAACAAAGAATGATATAAATGATATACGAGGTATACGTTATAGAGGCGACTTTGAAGGTTTAAAACTTAGAGGTGCTACGGTGGTAAGTGGATGTGGGATATAGATCTCATTCTTTATTTACATTTATATTTTCCCTTTAAAGATCGATCAAGACAATATAACCGATAATGATCAAATTGAACAAATTTTGTCACGCTCAAGCAAAGATCCGGGTGTTTCAGCTTTTACCAAATACCATTATGAACTATTTAATCTTTTACGACATCGTTTAAATTTCACTGTCGAATTTCGCAATGCCCGCGGTTGGGCGGGACACTTAGATAATTCAAGCTACCGACTGGGATTTCTAGGTATAATGCAACGCAACGAGGCTGACATTGGTGCGAGTGCAGCTTATCCGCGCTTAAATCGTTTTGCCGAATTCGATAGTTTACATCAAGGCTGGAAATTCCATACTGCCTTCTTGTTTCTTTACACTCCGGATTTGCATGCGCAAAGTAAAAAAGGTAACTTCTTGGCACCATTTGAAAAGCATGTTTGGCTCGGATCTCTAATAATCCTAAACATGGTCGGCTTAGTTTGGATCGTTGAGGAGCGTGTAAAAAGCTATTTAAGTAAAATAACCACCAGCAACGTGGAAGTATTTAAACGAATTGGTGGTCGTTTTATAATACCTCTTAACATTTTTGCTGCGATATGTCAACAAGGTAAAAAAATTATTGTATATATATACATAATTAATTATAATTATAATTATATATATATATATATATATATATATACTATAACATAATATTAATACAAATAGTAATGTTTTTAACAAGGTGTAGACCCCGTTCCAAGTGGAGCCTCGTCTCGTGTTATTACACTTACTTCGTTTCTGTTCTCTTTGGTTATGTATAATTACTATACATCCTCGGTAGTTGGAGGCTTATTAAGTTCCACTGATAAAGGACCTTCCACCGTAGATGAAGTCATATCCAGTCCTCTCCGTTTATCTTTCGAAGATATTGGTTATTATAAAGTAAAATTTCGAGTGAGTTAAGATGCGAGAAAACACTAAGCAGCAAAAAAAAATTACTTCTCTTTTTATTTCCTCTTCCTAAAATATTAGGAAAATAAAGCGCCCAGTATTGTTAAACTATTAAATAAAAAAGTACTTCCCCCTCGTGACCCTCACGATTTGCCCGTTTACACCAATTTTTCATCGGCTATACCATACTTAAAGAAAGGCGGATATGCTTTCCACTGCGAAGAAGTTGACGTTTATCCTGAGCTGGCTAAAATTCTTACAGACTCTGAGATTTGTGACTTACGTGCTGTATCCGGTTTGCTGGGTTCCGCGTTAATGGATTGGATCGTACACAAGAATAGTCAATACACCGAAATATTTCGTCACATGTAAGTCATAACAAAATGTATTCCTTGAAATCATGTATTAAATGCAATTAATCCTGATATCTCTATATTTATATACTCTATGTTGTTTTAGTTTCATTAATATATATAAATACATACATGCTTCAGTTGCACGTATACTATATTATATATTATAATTAGCTACAAACTTTTTGAAAAATGCACCTACATATATTACATACTTCCAGTGTGACCCAGGCTCAAGAAGTAGGTTTAATTCAACGCTTGCTAAGACAACGCCGACCAAAAAAGCCGCCTTGTCAGAATCTGTACACAGTATACCCTGTTAATTTATCGGGAACACTTAGCGCTTTTGTATTGTTAGCCGGTAAACAAATTCCTTAAATGCCCAAAGGAACATAATTTAAAAAATACACTTTTTGTTTTATTGCAATTATATTATTTTAAATTTCAGGGTCAATAATCATCTCATCAAAAATACTTTTGCTGGAGATTGCACTAAAGCGCTATTCGAATCGATTACGTGATTAAGAAAATTAGCAAATTATTTAAAATCGCAGCTTCTCTTTGAAAAAGCAGCATAATCGATAACTTTTATTATAGTCGCAAAATTCAATCTTTTTAATAAACTTCAATAGAAATCATCTTCAGCTTTAACGTTACGGCTTTGCTGATTTTTAATTTGATCTTGAGAACTATACATATCGGCCACTTGCTGAGCAGTAGTTGCCATTTCGGCTGATTTGTCGTCTCGAATACGTATGAAGCGTGGAAAACGTAATGAAATGCCCCTTTCAGGATCAACAATCCCTGCCGCAGCCTTGTGTATGGGACTAAGAGAGAGATCAGCACATTTTATTTCCCATACCTGCACTGGTTCCAGCCAATCATCTGGCTCTAATGAGCTATCGCAACAAACGTAAGACTTTTTTGCCGGTAAAGTATAATTTTTAAAGAAGTCTGCATGAGTTTGTAAATCTTCGTCTGAAAAACCTAATAAACCAATTCTGTTGAGAGATGCGTAACCAACTATAAAAAAATTGAGACTGACCTGTACCAATTTTACAAATACTTTGATATTCTTCATTGTCATGATCATAACAGGCTAACAGGAAACCACCATAGCTGCCAGTACGTTTACCTTTACCTCGGTAGCCACCAATTACCACCAAATCTAATGAGTCGCCACATCCTGACAAATAGTCTTTCTTAAGCTTAAGCCAATTACGTGATCTCCTTGCTATTTCATATGTGGCGTCAACGTCCAAAGTCTTTACCATTAGACCCTCACAATTTCCTTTTATTGAGTCCTCCAAAGACTGTTGCACCTCATCAACGTCCATAGTATCCACAGCAGTAGCAAACCTCCAAATTCCTTCCTGTTCTACAAAATGTTCTTTCAAAAGTTTTCTTCTCTCCGCGAATGGTTTTGAAACTAAAGGCGCTCCATTCAAGTACAACAAGTCGAATGCGTAAACACATACTTGCACTTTAATTTCGTCGATATCGACATTTTTACGCTTGCGGGTGGTTAGGACTTGAAAGGGTAAAATCATTTTGTTCTCCACATCCCAGGCAACAATTTCACTGTCTATTACAAATGAAGAAACCTCAGGCTTTACAAATTCCTTAATTCGTCCTATAATGTCAGGGTATTTGGTGGTGTTGTTCTCTTGATTTCGCGAAAATATTGATACGGAGCCGTCTTCTTCGCTATGAATTTGCGCACGTTCACCATCATATTTCCACTCGCAAGTAATGGCCAGGCCATCGAAACGTTCCAATACCTCCGACACACCTTTAGTAGGCTGAGCCAACATTGGTTTTATGGGAACTCCCGGCACCATTGGACAATAATCCTGCAATTTTTCTACACCGTGCTCCAACAATATAGGTATAACCTTATCATAGTTGGGGCACTGGCTGCGAACAGAATATCTTAAAAAAGAAATGCTTTTGCAATTACGCTGTAACTTACCAATGAGCGGTTTTTAAAAGTACAGCAACTTCATCTGCTTTTTCTTTCACAACATCTTCACTCATTTTGTTAATTTTATCAATGTGTCGCGTTTTTACAATGGCAGTAGCAACAGCGGCTAACAAACTTTGTTCAGCTATACCAATACGTAACTTTCCCAATAAAGATCTAATAAAGAACCGAGCTTCCGAAGATCTACATGCGATATATATATCCTTAATATGGGTGATTTTATTTTTACCCGGTGCTTTAGCTATATCCTTAAGTTTTTTAAAAACCCCACTAATTGTTAGAGGAGCCGGCTTAAACATCATACGTTGTGCCATTCTTGATTGCTCCGCTACTATGCCCAAATCGCCTATTTCATAAGTTTGGGATTTAATAAAATCCAACTTACGTCCCGTCGTTTCACATATTATCTTCATCAACGTTGTTTCCGCTACGCCAAGTTCCAGACCTTCATATGCTGGCGCTAATTGATTAATAGACAAATAAATGCTAGGCAGCAAATCATTTGGATTCAGTAAAATTATGGAACTGAACAAATTTCCTAAAATTTCAATCATTTTTAGTCGACTTTTCGTGTCTTCGATTAAATGGAAAGTACGTGTAAGAGCCAGGTAAGGAGTGCTGCAAGTTATAAAATTGTAATTATTATTCTAATTTGTTTAGACCAAAGCGAGAAATTCTAAAACTAAAGTAAGTTGAGCACTAGCAACTAAATATGAATTGGAATTTCTATACAAATTACTGAGAACATATATGCGCTTACGCTCTAAAGTGACCAAATTTTATACAAATACATGCAAAATTATCGAGAATTTTAAAGACTACCGGCTGGTTTTTTTTTAAACGATAAACTAGATGGAAGTTAAATACTTTATTGATATTATGTTCTTTCTATGCATCTCCAAAACACCCTGAATATTAGGGATATTTGAGTTTATAAAAATGATTGTCAAATATTCTCTTCAAACAGTTCACTGGAACATTTACATAGATAAACAGACAAGAGCACATCGCATGTACCTTTCACCTTTCTTCCACGGAGCGTCGTCAAGTGGATGGTAACGACATTTGGCCGGGTTATATTCTCTGGATATAATATCAATTTTCTCATCATTAAGCGTGACCAGTGAGACTGCTTTTGGCTTTTCCACTTCCGATTCCACGTCCAGTTTAAGTTTCTTAGCCGGCCTCTCATCGGGTGAGTTAGCTTTAATTTCTTTAAACGACCTTTTAAATTTAAGTAATATTAATTACTATTCAAATGCTTGCAAATTCTTTTAAATTTACCTCGATGCTTTTACTTCATCTCTCAAATTTACTGATGTATCCTTGGGTTTAAAAAAGGACCTAGAAATATGAATGTTTTTTATTGATTGATTTAAAATTAACGCTGCAACGCACGTAATATTTCTTTGGGACATTTCGTATCCAATCTTTTTTTTTCAATTTTGTTTTACATAGTTTACAAAACGAAGCAGACGTGTGTTTAATACCGGAGTGGCGGCTAAAATAAAATAATCTAAAACATATGATTTATATCAAACAGATTGGGCGGAGAGTTACTAGACTGTAATAAAAAGAAAGGAAAAAATGTCTTGGTCTTAATAGATTTCGCACCTAATTATTTTTGTGAAAGCAAGAAATTCATTTAAATTAAATTTTCTATTTCAAATAGAAATACAGGCGGGAGTGAAAGGATTGACGGGCTATACAGCCCGCCATGCCGAATGTTATTTGACCCCCTACGAATTGCACGATTGTTCGCTCGTAATTAATGGCGACAATTTAGCTTGTAATTTATATAAAGACGCGAGTGGTCCTTATTCGGCTTTTGGAAATTGTGGTGATTTCTATAGAATAAATAAATTAGAGATAAAGGGAACAACAAAAACGCTGTATTTTTACTACTATTATTATTGTTAAAATCATTTATTTATTTACTTTTTTTGTTTTTTTTACCTAATCGAAGAAATTTAAGAGTATCAAGGACGCAAAATTAGTAATTTATTTATTTTAAATTCAACAGCTGTTTAATAACTCCTCTATTATGTGAAAATAAGTTACAAATTTTCATCTGATAATTTCAAGAAAATTTCGCTCTTTGTTTTTAAATGTTTAATGCTTTAAACTTAAAACAACTTAATAATTTAAATGGTAACGCCGCAGCGGGGCTGTTAAATGCCCAAGCGCTGTGAAATGTCCAACTTAACAGAAAACAAAGGTCCAACACTGTTAAAATGCCAAGCCGTCGGCAAAACAAAGGCCCAACTCTGTTAAATGAGTGGCATGGGGGGTACGATGTAGTGATTTAAAATACTGCTTAGATGTTTTCACTTATGGCAACGTCGATTTCAATTAATAAGATGGAATGTTAACTATAAAATGCATAGTTCTTAGAGAATTTCATGTTAGAGCTTTATTTGATGGTAAAAAAGAATGTTTATTTACAAATGCGAACACAACGTGTAGTGCATAAACTAAAAGTTTAGTTGTGAAGAAAAGTTTTGTTTGAAAAGAATAAACAAACTATATCTATTATATAAATTGTTTAAAAATATTTACGCATAATACCGATATATTCACATCATAAATAAACTCGCAGAAGGGATACTATAAGAAATATGACGTCCACCAATGACGTGCGAAAACGTAGAGTAAGTGTTCACTGTAAAACGACACATGATTAAAAAAAACAACGAAATAAAATTAAAATAAACTTGGCATGATTTACTAATAAATAATCAAACTCTTATTAATGTGGCCAAGCGATTTGTCTAATTTCTAAATATTTAACGAGATACACTACAGATAAACTAAAACTTTCTTCTGTTCAATGACAAAAATAAATGATATAAGTTAATGATCACTTACGCTAATGAGAAAGAGAGCGGGGAAAATAGTGTGAATACTACACACAGATAAGGACAGACATAGATAAAAGGTAGAAAGCTAACGTTGCAATCTTTACTATTTATATTTATTTGTAGATTTATGTACTACACTATTTATATTGCTTTTAAAGGGAAATACATAATGAAACAGGCAATACAATTAAATCCGCTAAATAACTTTCTATTGTAAATATTTTATGTGTTCTTTTTCATTTTTAAGTAAGTTGAACTTTTCCCTGCTTTGTTCTTTTTACTTTCCATGAGTCTTCTTTATATATTTCCTCTTCCACTTCACAATTCCAAACATCTGAGAATAAGCGTCCACATTTGTTTACAATTTTTAATAATTGTTCAAGTATTTGTATAAAAATTGCCTACATCTGAGAATAAGCGTATAAAAATTTCCCGCCAACTGAAAATGATTCTCAATAATTCCAAACATCTGAGAATAAGACTTATTAGTGCCCATCTATGTTATTCAGCTCATCCCTTAACTTCCGTAACCTCTGAAACACATTCAACAAATGGTAGTATAACGATCCGGTCGTCCAAAATGGTTGAAGACTTGAGAACGCCAATCGTGATCGTCTCATTGAATTTAAAATTAGTATAAAAGCTGATTTTTTGTTTTGCGTGCACTTGTGTATCTGACAGTGTGTTCGTTTGCCGTTATACACACAAACTGACCATCTTACTTTTAAGATGAAAGCGGGTCTATTTAAAGGAAATTTTACGAATCGAGGAAATACAGTGATTTGTCGCTCTGTTTACGACACCTCTTCGAATAGAGTTCATAAAATTGTTAAAGCACCAATTTAAGAACCAAAAGTTTCAATATGCTGCTATCAGCTACTTGTAATCTCCCTTGAGATAACTAATAGAAAACCTTGGAAATTTTATTATCTACCTTGAGGTGTTTAATGTATGTTCGATATCGTAGCTCTCCCACGTTTACTTTATTTTACTAATACATTATGACAAGATTCTGTGACATATTCATATACTTACGCTTTGCGATTTATTAAAAAACAGACGATAATTAGGTATTTAAAACTCTTCCTGAATTTAATATTTTCTCTTATATTTGCTATATATTAACCACAAAAAAAATATATCTATTTGTAATGTATTGTAATCGCGTTGCAACTGAAAACAACGAAAATTCTCTGAATCAAATGAATTATAAACTATTCTGAACAATAACTTCGGATTAAGTAAAACAAAAACTATCGTCAATCGAGAACCGAGGTCAACCTAGTGATTTGTTAATCTGCTTACGACACCTCCTCTAACAGAGTTCATATAATCGTTAAAAAAACAATTTAAAAACCAAAAGATTCAATATGTTGCTATCGGCGACTTACAATCTTTCTTGAGATAACTGCTCGTTACTTTAAATTAAGATTATAAATTTTTCGTATGCCTGGTTAAGGAGAATAAGGGTAGCATTGTCAATTTCTCCATCTATCTGTCGGCTTATTTAGGGGCTAAAATATCGAACTTCACGTTAGATTCTTCTTGTCTACCTCTATCATAGCATGTTAGAAAGGGTAGAGAATAGAGAAAATTCGAAACCCATTATTTTTTTTTTTTTTTGGTATGTTGAATGGAGATGGACTAAGCCAATAGATTTGTGGCTTCTATGTCCTAAACACCCATTATTAACAAACCCAATGTTCTAAGACATGACTCGCTCATTTAATTACTCTCAGATGCTTCTAAATTCAGGTGGATTTTAGAATCAAACAGGTGGTTTTCAGGCTCGCTCATTCTCTCAGATTACAAAAAAATCATTGAATTTTATTTCTTAAATCCCTAGCAAGAAAGGGGAAGAAAAAAAACTTCATATCCATATGTGATGAATTTTAGAATTTTTTCGAGAACTTGGCAAATATTTGTTCTGAGAGATAACAAAAAATTGAAGTATTGAGTTCTACAGCAAATTCAATATTTTGTTCAATCTTTTTTAAAAACTGAGACGTCTCTGCACCAAAGCATTTTGTCTTAATGAATTTAATGATAATTCTTTCCATATATTCATACAAGTGCTTGAAATATAATATATAATCTTGTTTATATAAATGTATAAAAAATATGCATTGATCTCCCCTTGTACGTCTCCTCAATAATTTTATACAATTATTATTGCACTTTTAACATTTTTTAGATATTATTTCACTTTTAACATAATATGATTTCATTAAAAGGCAAAAGCATATTTTGGAGATAATTCCAATAAAACATTGGAATATATTGCGGATATATGCGGACTATTCGAAAGAATAGAAGAAGGAAGAATAATTTTCAGTTTGCAATTATATACCCAACATCACATTAGAATTTATCCGGCTGTCTATTTGTAAATTCATTCATGCTGTTTAATAGATGAAATTGTTAGCTAATGTCCTGTAATTTATGTCTAAATTTCATTTCATATTAAGAAAAAGCACAAATCGAACGTTGGTTTTATTTTATATTGTAAATGATTTTTAATTAAATTAACATTTATTCAATTTTACCAAAGATTCTGCCAATTATTCTCAATTGTAAACATATTCGGACCTGCTATTTGATTTACTCTCAGATGCTTCCAAATTTCAAACTTAATAAAAATTAGTTCCCGGACTTTCAAACTTTCATAGCTTTGCATGTATCTTCTACGGTGAATAGCGCAATAAGGCAGAAGATGCATACATTAAAAAAAAAAAAACATAACATACTTTGTAGAGACCCTTATTTAATAATATTAGTTTATAGTTTTTATCAAAATGCATTTATAAATTTATGGCGATTTAGCTGATTTTTGAAATTCGTATGTTAAAAAAGAAAAGGTCCTTACACACTGTCAGCATATCACGACTTTTCAAAATCATATATGGGAAGTGACCAAAAAAAGGGCTCAATCTGAACTATTTTCAACACTATTCATTCATTCAATTTTTTTGATATCGAGCGAACTTGATGGCTGTGAATTATGAACTTGGTGTATTGAGTAGAGAGGTTAGAGTTGCTGATAAGTTATGAATTTTTCGATCGTAAAATTGCTATTGAGTCATATATCCAAGTTACAATCGAGTTTGCTCAATATCAGAAACCATAAACCGCTCTCAAATCCAGAATCAAAACAAGTACTTATTTACCTAGACTTAATGACTAATTCTTAAAAATTGTGACGGCAGCAGTAACTGGCATTACTTTTCTCTTCGTCATTGTGAGATTGATGTTTCTTTGGCGAAAAATGTCATCGTTTACCAAAAGCAGCTTTTTTCGCATACGGCTCTTTTCACATTTTATGACAATATGGTTTTTTTCAAATATAACTGGTTTCGATCTTACGTCTATAAATTAAAAGTTACAGTAATAATGACTGAATCATTGGGATGAGTTATTTCATTTTCCGCTTGTTCTTCCCTGTACGTGCACAACAACAAATTTTTCTTATTACACTTGTCAAACTAAGTTCGAAAGTTAACTAAACCACAAACACATTTCAATCTTTTCTCTAAATTGTCAAACTTTTCGTTCAGAAATTTAAATTTTTTTTTAATAAAAAATATTCATAAGTTCGAAAATCACCTGAATCAGATCATTGGTTCGCCCACAATTAATGAAAAACTAAACAAGTAAAGAGCGGTTTTAATTTATTAAATGCAATATGCTTTTAAATTGTATTGGAACAAATATACATAAGGTATTTGTTGATATATTTAATGAACAGATACTCATTTTATATTCTAAGCTAAATCTAACAATCTAATTTGTTGAATTTGTAAAGACTGCCAGTAGTGCGCTTTGCTCTAAATTATATATAATCATTTCTTTCGTTTTTCAACACTGGAATAAATTAACATTTTAAGAGACTTGTAACAATTTCTTCAAGCAAAATTCTCCTAAAAGCTACACAAAAATTTAACTTTTTCCCCTATACGTGCAAGGGAAATGTGGAAAATACTCTTTTTTATAATAATGCTTTGACTTTTTATTTGGTCAATGAAAGTGGTAAAAATTCGATGTTCACTCATTTACTTCTCCTTTAATTTGACCAAATTCGAAGTGTGTAATGTACAGAGAGCCTTCAGTCGATAATATTTCTCTTTTTGGGAAGACATAACAGTGAGTAGCAGTCAAGTCAAATCAATTCAGTGACACTTTATTTAGCGTTAAGAGAAGGCGAACTAAAGCAAAATAACTTTCGTAATTGAAAATATGCAAAGAATATGAAAATTCTGAAACTGGAATATAAATTGGTAGGCTGAGATTAGTTGCATAATATTGTATAATATATTATGTATTATGTATATATTATGTGCTCTATACTTTTACTTCATTTCAAACTATAGCTGAGCCGTGATGAGAAAACTTCACTTAACGCCGCTCATTTGCGCCCGGGTACATCCGTTTCCGCCAATCTATCCGCTGGTCTTAAGTTTTCGTTCCTTTGTTTAGTTGTATCCGTTATATTGTTTTTATTGGGTTTAGGTAAGTACAAATCTAGTTTTTTTGTTTTTTTTTATTTATAAAAAATTTTTTTAATTCCAGGATTGTACATTGATACAACAAACCCATTTTTAATGCATTTAGCCTCCAAACTTGGTTACGATAAACAGCAATACGCTGTGATTGTGGATGCAGGCTCAACGGGAAGCCGCGTGCTCGCTTATAAATTTAATCGTAGCTTTATAGGTAAATTCAAGACATACAAACACTAATATTAAGATTTCGCGTAAAACAGGCAGACGCACTTATTTTTTTGTAGTCGCGCCTTTATTTTACCATGCTTCTTTAAAAAAGTCCAAACAATTTCTTGTGAATTTTAAAGAAAAAAGCTATCTAAAAAAGATTCCTTTGTTTATGTCTTCATTTTATTTAGACAATAAATTGATTTTAGCTGAAGAACTGTTTAAAGAACGTAAACCGGGACTTTCTGCTTTTGCCGATAATCCTGAGAAAGCTGCTTTGTCTATTAAATTACTACTGGATGAAGCAAAAGGTAAGTTTCATTTCCTTTGGTTTAAAACTCCATCCAGGAGGCGGAGAAATACTTAATATATATATATATATATTTATTTAATTATTCAAAAGCGTTCATACCCAAGGAGAAATGGTCATCTACTCCGTTGCTATTAAAAGCTACTGCCGGCTTGCGTTTATTACCGCACAGTAAAGCAGAAAATCTTTTAAATGTCGTACGTGACCTGTTTACCAAGTCAGTATTTAGTGTAGATATTGATGCTGTCGAGATAATGGACGGTACTGATGAGGGTATTTTTTCATGGTTTACGGTGAATTTTCTTCTGGGCCGACTATCGAAATCTAATCAGGCTGCGGCATTAGACTTGGGCGGTGGAAGCACGCAAGTAACTTTTGCACCGACTGACCCTGAACAAGTGCCACTTTATGAAAAATATATGCACGAAGTGAAAATTAGTTTGAATAAAGAAATTAACGTGTTTACTCATTCTTATTTAGGCTTGGGCCTAATGGCAGCCCGTCACGAAGTCTTTACAAAGGGTTACAATCCGGAAGAGACAAATATTGAATCCGCTTGTGTTAATCCCATAATAAGTAATCGGACTTGGCTTTACAATAACATTGAATATAAGATAAGTGGCAAGGATTCCGGTAAACCATCGCAAGAAAATCCTGTAGTGGATTTCGATGTATGCTTAGAGTTGATAAAGAGCAAAGTTATGCCTAAAGTGAAACCCAAACCGTTTTCATTGAAACAGCATACCATAGCAGCCTTCAGTTACTATTTTGAAAGGGCGATAGAATCAGGTCTCATAGATCCATTTCAGGGCGGAGAAATTACCGTAGAATCGTTTCGAAAGAAAGCTTTGGAGGTTTGCCAAACTCCAAATGACGAACAGCCGTTCATGTGCTTCGATCTAACTTATATATCAGTGCTGTTAAGAGAGGGCTTCGGATTAGCCGACAAAAAAAAGATTAAACTGTATAAACAAATAGATGGGCACGAGATCAGTTGGGCATTGGGCTGCGCTTATAATATTTTGACTAGTGACGACAAATACAATTCGTAAGGTTTTATTACTACCCTAGCTAAGCAAAGTAAATCATTCACTGGCTTATGTGTACATACGGCTCTATATATGTATATAGTTTTATCAACGTATATTTAATTACTTAATAATTGGACGTATAAAATTACAAATTCTTTATAAATAGCAAACAAGTATATATATAATAGTGTAATAGTGCCTTAGAGTTTTCACACATATGCAAAATTCTTCAGAGAAGCTGTCCTCTTTTTTTAAAGTTTAATCAACTCTTGTCACAATATAATAATAGTTTTAATTTTTTGTAATTTTATTTAAATTAATAGAAAATTTTACTTAGTGAATCATCTTATCACATGAATATATATGTAATAAAATATGATTTAAAAAAATTGGGAAATGAATCTAATGACTGTATTTTATCCAAGGGCATCAAATGAGTACACATGAGTTTTCACGGAAGTGGACTCACCATGTCATATCGAACTTTTGCTGATCTAAAAATGAGATTTGCGACATACGCATTATTAATAATTAATTACCGAAATGCTTGATTTGAAAAAATTTATTGAAAAAAAATTGAAGATAAAGTTTATGGAACGGTGCTGTTACTGAAAATAAAATTATAAAAAATGTCTAATTAGAGAACACGCACATTGTTCGCTTATTTTCCAAATCTAATCTTGCATCGAAGACACGAATACCTGGCAGGCTTTGTATTGGTCTTTGATTCATTTCTGTAACAGCGGCACGCTGGACGTTAGCATGTTGACAGTTTTCAGCTTTCTTGAGAAAAGAAGTTCTTCAGAATCATCGGAAAACAAACACTAGGCGTTTCTTTAAAGTTTCTATAAATTTTAATAAAAGATTTCGATTCGGTTAGCTTGCCTATACATATGCATATGCATCATGTCCAATAAAGATAAGTGCCACTTTTCAAAACGGTAATTTTCTTTAAATGCTACTTCCAATGAATCAATAGAAACATATTAAGACACCCAAGTTGGTTACCCAATTTGCTCTTGTCTTATATTTCCTTACTATAAAGAATAAAGAGTTACAATATACGTTCCAACAAATTTAAAGCCGAGTTTTTTTGGCTTCTTTATGGAACAAAGTTACACATACCAGTTGGCCTACGTTAATATGACAAGCCTCCGTAGGATATTTATCCAGATTTTTGGCTCGATCTGCCTTGGCCTTCGCAAAGCCACCAACCTTGTCTGCTTTTATTCACGGAAGGTAAATTGGCAAAAAAAAACTTTTTTCTTTTTTTCAAAATTTTCTTTTCTTGGTACAAGATAGTTTTAAACATTCTGTATTGCTTGCCTTATGATGAATAAACATAAATTCTCCAAAAGTGAAAAATTTGAACAATTGTAACTTTATGTGGACATGGCCTGCCGTTTCCATTTTTAGACGTAAAGGTTAGAGTATTTTGTAGTGTAAATGTGAATAGTTTCAGCCTTCTAACTTTAATAATTTCCGAGTAGCGAGCAAAAACCCACAAGTTTTTCTTAAGATCGACGAAGTTGCGTTCAGCTTATGCGGCACTGCGGACATCTGCTCTGACTAATTTGGCCCATTTTCAACACCAGCATGCAGAAACTTACAATGTTTCTAACACATTTAAAGTCGATATCTTCATTTTTGCAACCAGAAAAGCGTTAAAGACACACACCGCACGGGCGGACGGACGCGGCTAAATCAACTCGGAATTTCGCGTTAATCAAATTTACTTTTTGACTTTATAGGATGTCTGAAGCTTCGTTTTAGGTGTTATATACATCGTGGAAAAAAACAAAATGAGTATACTTCCGTATTACAGGGATGGGGTGGGGATCAATATTCTGAAATTCTTTCTCTTACAATTACTGTACACAAAATGTTTCGTTAAAAAGCGTATGTCGATTTGTTGTTTCTTATTTATTATTATTCATTTATGTGTTTTTCTTCAATTAAAATTTTATAAATGCAAAAATAAAGCTTTAATTTTTTCTTAAACCACGTAAGTATTTCTATACGCATGCATCGAAGAGCGCTAAAATTCATTTAACGGGAAGGTGCTTTAATAGGTAGGTAGGATAGGTGACACAACTTTGAGAGAAAAAAGTAGTAGGAATCGTGACAAGATTAAAAACCCTTCAAAATTTGCGGTTTTATATTTAGACGTTCTATGACGTATTGCGGCATACAAAGGGTAGGGTTAATAGCTTTTAAGCCTTCAAAACCCAGTAACGACAATGCTCCTATGCCAAACAACGTGTGAAAGATATCTGGTAGATTGCCAGTGCGATCAGCAAAACCTCCCGTTTCGTTGTCTTGACAAGAAAGTATAAATTCTCTCAATTTTTCGGCACTTATCCAATGCAAGCGGCCCATAATTGTTAGAGAAGCCAGGACCCACCAAGAATAGCATACATCGGGCAGTTTCTCAGGCCTACCGTTCAAGCCACCCGAAGGTAATTGACGTTCGCAAAGCCACCAACCCAATTTGTCTACATCGAGCAAATGCAGACGTTGAGTCAACGAGAGGAAACCAACACAACAGTAAATTAAGCCTAAAGGAAAAAACGAAACTGTTTTAAGAACTGTTTAAGCAAACAGAGTGACATCCTTCTTTACCCGCATGCGATTCTGCACCAGGTTTCGAACCAAATCCTCCATCCGTGTGATTGCAACATGTCATTACAAAACTTACAGCTTTTTCAATATCTACGGTAGTCGTTAAATCTCTTTTCAGCAATGTAAGCGTAGCTACCGCACAAAATGAGAAACGTGTATCTACTTCACCCCAACGATCTCCAAAAAAACTTCCATCTCGCTGTTGCAGCGACGACACATAGCGTACAATAGCATCACAGTTCACCTCGTGCAAAGCGTCATAAATACATAGTATCTGAACTGCAGATAATGTGTACAAAATGTGAGGATCGTGGCCTTCGCAAGGAGCAAAACCGCCAGTACTAGAACATTGACAACGCCTAATAAATTCTATAATTGAGGAGCGATCAAGACGTTCCAACTGATTCATAATATCTAAAGCTGTTATTCCCCAATATATTCCGGACATGCGGAGAAATTCAGTCATGCAAAACTCATAGTCGTTCTGATCTTTGCCATGGTTTTCGATGTATTCCACATGTTTCCCATAAAAAAATTCTTGTGTTAGCGGCTTAAGACAATTGCCACTTACTGCACAATCCAAGTTCGTACCTTTGGCAAACGAACTAAAATCCATTACGGTTAATTTATTAAATTTTATGACAGATTAAATAATTACAAAAATGATTAATTGAGCTAAACACAATGAACACAATATTCTCACAGGAGATATGTCAAATTACCCATCGGGTAATAAGAGATTTTTGTCTTTCAGCCGTTTCATTAGTTGATGTAAAGAGAAAAAAATAGAAAACATCTGTTGACTTCATAGGGCTTCTGCTAAATAATATTCTGAGCGGACTATTTGCCAACAATCAAACGTCTAAGGTGAATACCACTTTTAAAGAAACCCTATGTTGTGGCAATCTTTTTCCCATGAATGCAAAAAAATCTCAAGTTTTGGTAAAGTCGCAAGTGATAAATACAGTGGGCAGCTGTGCTACCATATTGGTTCACAGGAAAATATAAACAAAAACGTTGTAAACAACGGAAAATTAAGAAATCCTCGTCAATTCCATGCAAACAACAAATTCACGCAAAATTACAATAAAAACCGCTAACTTACATGAATTATGATCAAAATATATTCTACAAACCGCTAATGAAATGATGAACGTTTCTTTTAAATTTTAATGTTATCTGTTTAATTTAGGTTCATTATAAAGTAATGTTCATTTTTTTATATTATGTAATTTATTAATATTATCATTATAAATTTACCCAGAGAATAAATTCTAAGACTAAGGTCTTAAAGCACTAGCACCTAAGGCTTTCGGATCATATGTAATTTAAAATTTGGTTCATACTATGCATTATTTTCTAAGAAATGAAAAACAAGAAATTTCGACCATTTGGTTGAAATGTATTCATTATTAAACGACGTTTAATAGTAATGATACACAGAAACATATACCTACATAGATCTAAACAGTTTTCTTTATCACCAATCAATAACATCCTCATGTTATTTAGCATGAATTTGTTGTTTACGTGGAATTTACGTGGTTTTCTTAGTTTTCCGTTCTAAAACCGTATGTTTTTGTTTACATTTTCCTGTGAAATAACATGGCAGCGCGACTGCCTATTGTGCCTATCAGTTGAAGAATCTCATCTGAAAACGAAAACCATGGCTCAGTGTGTCAGCTCCACTTTTAACTTGAAAATTATTAAATGAAAATTTTGATAAATTTTTAGTTTGCTCAATATTTATTAGAAAAAGTGCTTTTTAATAGTTGCTTTCGTGCGTGCGCTTTATAAATTCACATGAGAAGTTTAAGAAAAGAATTGTTGCAACACTGGCGCATATATTGTATGAAGGAAAATCAAGCTAAGGCGAAACGACGGAGAAGAGGAAAGTAACAACTACAACAGAGAATTGTAAAGATTAAGAAAAAGCAGTTGCTGGCAACGACGTCGTGTGGTGGTGTTATATAGTAGTAGAGACACAAATGAACAAATTTTTAGAGGCCAAAGAAGGCAGCGAGAAGGAGGTATTATAAACGTGACTCAAGAATATAGGTGAAAGTGCTCATATAGCCGAAGTTACAACACTAGGCGCAACATATGGAAGGCTATTCCTAAAAGTTAATTCTCTGGTTGGCCTACGAGTTCAGCCACATAGAGTGGTGTTTAATCAGAGCTTTTTAGGCGAGGGCGTTGTTTACCAGAGAAAAAAAGCTAATCATAATACGGAACTGGGAAAAAAATACTGGAATTTGCGCTAATATTAGCCGAAAAAAGAATTGGTCATCCAGCTTTATATCGATTTAAGGCCATGTCCAATGGTGAAGATGTTCTAGACAATTGGGAAGAAATAGACGAAGTTGGGGTAAGATTTTAAATGAATTTCTCATAATACGAATTTGGTTGACGTCTTAAGAGCTGATATACTATAAAAAAACTACATGATCTTTTAGTGCGTTTTCGAAAATTGCTCGAAAATATAACATGACATACTTTATGACAATTTGATTATTTTTTATTTTACTTAATGATATTTTGGCACTTAGTCTACGCTCCTAGTCCGCGTCTACTTAGAAATTACTTTTAATTCAATTTTGTTGAAAGGAAACTTTTGCTTTTGATTACAATGAGTTTACAACTCTTGAGGCAATTTTCGAAATTTAAATTTTTATGCTAATTTAAAAGTATATTCAGTCCACAATTTTCTGAAGAATCGTTTTTTGTCGTTTGCATAAGCAATTTACTAATATGCGTTATGTGTGAAATCGTTTCAGCTAACTTCAGCTTTAGAGAAACTGAAAGCTTCCTGTTCTTCAGAAACAAACCATACCGGGCACGAGACTACTACGTCAGTTAAAATTCGCGCAAACAACTCGTTGGACTCCTTCAATAACCCCACCGAGAAGGATTGTTACAAGCCAGAAAACTTGTCGTCCGTGACGGCAGATATAACCGCAATGAAGTTGTTGCAGCCTTCGTCAACGCATGATGCTACTGCATCCATTTCATATTCCATAAAATCTGGCTCTTCATCATCTGTTTTAGCAAATCAGCCATCTCTTGCGACACTGGATGATATAACGACGACGTTCCAACCGGTTATGATGGTACTGCATAAATCGTCCGACGAGTATCAGTCAGCCAACTACACTGCACCAATAGCTAACCAAACGGTAAAAATTCTAAGACGTCCAACACAAACGAAGGAGCCGCGTTCGAGTGTGGTGCGACCGAAACAGCCATTGAAATCGTTGAAACAAAGGGAACAGGAATACGCAGAGGCAAGATTGAGGATATTGGGTTCTGCCAAAAATCCAGAAGATGAGAGCAACGAGTGGTAGGTTTTTCTATAAAGCCGCAAGTAAATTGTAGAGATTTTATCATCACATTTTTTCTAATTTAGTGCTTCGCCTGCTAGCATTACAATGACGAATTCATCATCTCCACCTGTATATCAAGCAACATCAACATCTCTGAGTAATATTGCAACCAATGCTGCCTCAAAACAAAACTCGCCACGAAGTCAGAGTGGTCCAAACATATATAGCAATCATTTTCAACCACAGCAGCAACAGCAACTTCAACCGACACCACAGCAAATGCAATATCAACAAAATTTTCAATATACTCCTCAAAACTTCTATTATCCGTTACAACAACAACAGCAGCAGCCAACTATGCCACATAAACAGCAAACTCCCGCTTATAACAATAATCGCACATTAAATATACCGCTATTGAGTCAGATACCTCAAGCACAATATCAGCAGCAACAACAACAACAGCCGCTTATAAAGTATCAGCAACAATTCCTTCACAAATCGCCAACACAGCAGCATCATCAAAAACAACAGCAACAGCAAAATTGGTCTCCCGTGATAGGCAGTGCATCCTCTTCTTCTCTAAGGCAGCAACAACAACAGCAACAACAAGACAGCGTAGTGCGCTTGCCTAGAGGACCAGACGGCACAAGCGGCTTTCAAATGCGTCGGTAACGAGTTGACAAATCGTTTTCGTCGTATGTTTGTATCCCATTTATTCTTCGTCTTACTTTCCTTTTTTGGGTTTATTTCGCCGTACACTTTTTTAAATGAGAGCTAATCAAGTAAAATTATTGAACTCACACTATCCGATTAATTTTTATATTTATAACTCGACAACTATATATACACAATCAACGTTTAAAAAATTGTTTTTTTTTTTCGGCTCTACAGTTACAAAATAACATAAATTTTTAAGCAAAATCATTTTCTTATTTTGAACCACGAAATAAAAAGGTAAATGCACGTGTAACGGAGCTCGCCTCACCGAAATTATTGAAATCAATATATTTGCGGTTTTAAAAAAATCACTTGCTACGCATCTTTTGAAAATGGATCTTTGACTTTGAGGCTATAAAATGCTTTTAAGAAATGCTTGATGCAAATCAAGAAAATTATTTTCGACGTTGCACTATCCATGTTAATAAAATAGTTTATAAACCTATTGTATTAATTACGAAAGACTAGAATATCTTGTTATATCGTAGGCAGCTTTTTGGGGAATTTATGCAAACTATTCGATATCGTTCATTATTAATACTTACGTTATGTATGCATATAAATCATATATAATTCGCATGTCATGAACAATCTGCTTTTCCCCAATGGAACCTCGCCTCCTTTCCATCTTGTGCGCTATTCGTATAATATATAGATTGGAACTACTGTCAATAGCTATGGTGCGTCGATTAAATCGAATACTATGAAAATAAGCAGTAGGTGCCTGTTAATAAAAGCAGGCCATTGCAAAGTATTTTCTATGAATTTCTTATGAAGAAAAGATCCGAACAAGGATATAAAAGAGTCTCTGATATTTATATCGATTGCTTACAATGTGGTCCGAGGTTTTATCTATCGCAATTTATAATATATGTTCTTGATGGATTTTGCTCTACATTAATTCCCGTGAAAGAGCGGTCGTACAATTCGCAAATTTTAAAGCTGACGTTTGACTTAGCCGAGCTTGATGTTTAATGCTTGTGCAGGCTGGCATCTATCCTGTGGAAAATGGTCGGCAAACCAGGCTTACATCAAATGGATGCGTTTTAAGAAATCATATTCGTATAATTTTTAGCGTCATCAACATTCAAATGGAACCAGATTCATTATTCAAATAACGCCGAAGATTTATAAATAAAAAGGATCAGTTTTTTCAGGATTATGGTTTATGAAAGACAATCCCAAATATCTTAGAATATGGAAGAAAAAAGTAGTTACTTAGTGAAAGCGAATGGACGTAAAAAATAAGGAATAAATTGAAATGCAATTTCTTTTATATATTTTCGTGTTAAATTAACTAAATGGTTTTGTACGAACGAAGGCGGCTAAAATATCTGATGTGGTTTACCTAAATAAAAAAAATAAGTAACATTTTAATTGCAACAAAGAAAACGAAGTCATTTTCTTCATTTTTTTTTTTATAAATATGTTAATAAATTTTATTTTTTTATCTATGGAGGTAAAGTTAGTCTAGTTTTTTCAAAAAAGATTCCAAGATATACTACTAAAATGGAACTCAATTCAATTGTATATATCATATATATGTACATATATATATAGATGAAAAATTCTTATTCATTGCGAAAATCTCTATGAAGAAATTGAGACGCGATGTAAACAGAATCCTTCGCCAGATCAAACGTCAGTTGGCATGTTATCGAAGCTCCCAGAATCATAAAAATGACTTACAGTTATTGTTCAAATAATGGAAGCAAACTTATTACTATATGATGAATAAAATGAATATTTTGAGTAAATATGATTTGAATAAGGCTACCGATTAGAAACGTAATGTTGCCGAACTAGATGTTTTCGCCAATTTTCCACACACACTAATGTTGGCAAATTATTCATCTTGCTGAAAATGAAGTGATAGTAAAATAAATCGAAAATAACATCGAACGATAATTCAAAAAGCTATGTAGAAAAGGCAAAAAAATACTTGGAGGTTATCAGTGAATTTGACAGCGTAAAACACAAATATGTAACTGTAAGATGGCAAATTTTGGTTCTAGCAACACCGAGAAGAACGTTCTTTATTTCGTTTTATTGTTTTAAATGGACAGATACGTGTATATTTCACATATGACAATTTTAAAAATTCCGGCAACAAATGAACTAATTAAGCTATCATAACTCATGCTCTATGTTCTCATGCTCCGAATCCGAATGATTACAAATCGCATAACGAAAATTTGTTTAAATAATATGTTGAAAGTCTCGACGTCAACAACAAGTATGAATTCCTTTAATCCGATTAATCGGATGTATTATCAAAAAAAAAAAAAAAAAAAAAACAAAAGGTTCATATGTAATTACCAGTGTGATAATTGTATTCGAACTACAAACGGTATATTAGCATTGCCAATCCTTTGTAACCTAGGAAGTTTATATATATTTTTGATTGGAGTTACTGCGGAATGTAGCCTCCAATATCTGCCAGTCTGTTCTGTCTCTCACCACTCTTAGCTAGGATAAATCTGAAAATAAGTTCATAAATCATCCCACGATCAGTAAGCAAGTGATGCTTCGCCGTTTTTGCTTAAATCATGACCTGAAAAATTCAAACGTTTAAATTTCATCCTTGATTCTATCGGTAGTGAAGTTTGTAATGAAAAATTCACTTACAATTATCCAAAAATAGTTTGGAGATAACAGCAGGTATATATATAATATTGTGTACAATTCTGTCTGGGTTATCTGGGTAAGCGGACAATGCATGTATATAGTATACATGTCTATTGGTATGCATTCATATGTGCAGGATTGGTTGGGTATAAAAAAATTCGACTCAAGCCGAAATTTGCTGCTTTCCTGTTTTTACTGTGTTAGACGAAATTTGCGAACAAAATGGTTCTTAGATCGTCTGAATTAGCATTTAGTAGAATGTTGAGCGTTGCTCAAAGCGGTACGTAGAAAAGCGAGATTAACAAAATACAGTGAAACACTTTAACTTAAGAGCAACTGCAAACACGTGAGAAGTGCATTAAATTAATTCACTAGTTACACATCTCCTATGATAATTACCTCAAAAAGAAATATTCAAAGAATTATATATCCGAATTTTAATTGATCAATTAAAAAAAGAAGAAAAAGAGCTTTGGAAATTTTAATTGCAAGAAAAGAAAAAAAAAAAAGAAAGATAAAAAAATGCCTGTCGTTGGTAAGCAATTGCTGGTGATTGGTAATGGTGGTCGAGAACATGCGATTTGTTGGAAATTAGCGCAAAGTGCACAAGTTACAAAAATTTATGCTTTGCCCGGCAATCCTGGCATTGCTCTAGAAAAAAAATGCGAAAACGTGCTTGGAGTCAATGCTAAGGATTTTAATGTAAGTAATAAACGACAGCAAACCTGCTTGTGTGTGCGTTGGATACATTATTTATTAAATTTATTGCCGCGGTTCTCATGGAGAAAAATTTTACAATTAATATAAACGTGTTTTTATATATAAATATATTATTTTTTTATGGCAACAATCAACTCCAAACAGGTTTCGCGTTGGTGTTTTCGTATGCCTTAAAAAGATGTCAATGTCAACGATATTTTATGAAAATGGTTCTTGTCTTTTTTTTTTTTGTTTATTTGTTTATTGTAAATGAAAAATAGGAATTTTTATCACAATCCGCCTATTGGTATTCTCCTAAAGGGGTTGCTTACAAACTTCTGGATATCTTCACTTAAAAGCACTTTTAATAAATATTAACATTTTCGAAAAAAATTAAGAAAATTATGAAAAGTTCAGAAATGCTTTCATATGCAAAATATTTCCGGATTAAAACAATTTTATTGAATGCTCAATACACATTCGAGTTTTATTCCGTTTAATTAGGCAACATTATTGCGAAGTAAAAAGAAAACGTGGATAGTTTCAATCATTCTTGCGAAATGCATAAATATTTAATAAATTATTTTTCAAGATTTATTTACTTGAAAATCGATAGAATTTCTCCTTCTTCTTCTATTATTCAGGGAACCAAACCAAAATAACCAAAAATTCACTTCTTGGTCTTATGGCTAATATCAAAGTAGTATCGATAAAATTTCTTTAGTTGACGTTTAATAACTTCCCGAATATTTTTAATTAAAACAAATGGCATTAGTGCAGAAAGTACTTCTAAAAATAATATATAATATATGCTGAGCATTCTATAAAAGTAACACACAAACACAATTTTCCTAAATTATTAAATGATGCGAATCAATAATGTCAGCTAATCTGGTATTTACGTAAAAATATCATTTATTTTTTGGGTCCTAAAGCTGTTATATTGGAATCACGTTACATGAAGAAAAAGTTTTTTTTATATATTATCACTTTATGGAGATTGGTAAACTGAAGCTGAAATAATAATTAAATGTTTCAAGTTATTTTTAACTTAACACTATCACTACTACTGCCACATGTCTATTGGCACAACTTTATGGAATTTCCAATTATAGTATACGAGGTAGAACATGTAGAGTACAAAAAAAATAATAATAGTAACATTTATCTAAGCAAATTTTCTTTTCTTTATTTATTTACAAAAAAATTTTACAGAAAAAATTTTACAAAAAAATGAGGCTACTACTACTAACTATGCCAAAGTTGGTGTTATAGAAGAAATTCCGCTAAATTAAGGTGGGGAAGTTTCTTTTAATTACGAAAGTGACCTATTCCTGATCTAAGAAAGAAGAAGGAAGGAAAATAAGTATAATGAAGTCTAAGACAAGAGTTTTTTTTTTTTTATTTCATAAATTTAAATTTAATCGTCTAAAAATACAGAAAGATGTCTATTAATAACTGATGATATTAAAAGTATGAAAGATTTATGCCAGGAAGAAAAGAAGGCTTATCGCTCTTCTTTTTCCTTTAAGTGGCTTCGCGCAAAGAAGAAAATTGATTAAATCATCGAGAGACAAATTATCATCATCAGCAAATTATTCGTCCTTGCGACAAGAATACGTGTACTGCTTGTAACGTTAAAAGCGTGAACAAATGGAGCAACGAAAACGAAACAAATGTGAAAAAATAAGGCAAACACTTAGTTATTGAAAACACTATTTATTAGGCTTAAAAGTATGTATATCTCAAAAGTATACATTAATAATATAACCTATTGTCTGAAATGATGATTAATTGAACTTTTCGTTGGTATGGTGGGTGTCCGGGGCGTTTTAAATTCCCCGGTATAGTAATCTTTTTCAACGTATGGATGCGTACGTATATATTCCAGAGCACGTATAATGTATTCGGGTATTTTTGGTATATGATCACCGACGGCATGGTAACCGTTTTCGTCGGCTATATAAGTGGTTTTGATTTCCGCACCCTCTGGCGAGACATAAGCTGAAGTGCCTTCAATATGGCCTTCTGGTGATCCGTGCTCAACACGCTTAATACCGTTCGATGTCTCAAAACCATATTTGTATGAGCCATCACCCTCATTTACTCCAATATCATTGCTCACAATATGTGAGTCCTTCTCATCGGAATGATGGGTATATTGTGAATAAGTCTTCAAGACTAATGACAATATTAACAATACAGACTATACAGAAAAAGTATTTAAAATTGTATTGAAAAATTGGAAAGCTTTTCAAATCTCGTTTGGCACTTACAGTAAACTTCATTTTATATATATATATATATATATATATATATATATGTTTTGTTTTCTCTTTCTCTCTTGCTATCGAATGACTAGTTTTATTGATGAATATTTTAAGAAAACTGTTGAATATTTTGAGACTGCATTCGGTTTTTATAAAAATCTGCATATTAAAAAAGAAAAAAGGTCTACATATGTCATTCATATATGTATTAATTTTATAACTTATTTATTAGCATTTTTACGACTCGTGCAATTTTTTATATACATAAACGGTCTGAGAAAGAGTGCGAGAAAACGGTTAAGAACTTGGCTAAAATAAATTTTTGCCGTTATAACCAAAAATAATTGTTATAAAAATTAAGAAATAAATTAAACCAGTTCATGATTTCGACTTCATTCAGTAATTGTATTAATAAATTAATTGACGGCTCAGCAGCTACTTCTTGTTTGATTAAACTCCTACATGTCAGAATTTGTTTTTCATTATTTCAAATCTTATCAAATTAAATTATTTTTTGTAAAAAATATCCTAATAAAATATTTCCTTTTCATATTCTAACATCACGCGTGAATAGGTGAAACCGATTGGATTTAATATGCGGAAGTTTTTTTTCAAATATGTTTTAATTGATTCTAGTTTGGTTCGCTTATAATCGAAATACTAGAATTTTATTTCTCATCTTAACTTAATTAAGTCACTAATATGCTTCGCTTGGATTGAACAATGCTTTAAACTTGCTTGATTAGAAACAAAGCTCGACAAGTATTCTTGATCGCTACAGTATTTCGCTGGAGAAAAAATTTTAAATATGGTGCCCGTTTGTGTACTCATAATTAAGAAGTAAAAGCACTACACAACCCACTACAAAATACCCTACACCACCCTACAGACATGCATGTGACGACTTTTCAATATGAGGCGTTATATGGAAAGTACTCGAAAAAGTGCCACGGTCCGAGCTATTTTCAATAGCTTTCGTGCTTTGAAAAAAACACTTCAGTGAAGCAAATTTCATCAAAATATTGCAAAAATTGCAATTTGTAGGCTGAACACCACGAAGAAAGACGGACAGACGACATAGTAAAAGGTGGACCCTGCAGTATAGGCGATGTAGGGTATAAAAATGATTCACAAGGAACATAAAAGTTTCAAAAGAGCATCCCTAGTTTGGATTTCTACAATCAATGAATGCCCCTCTCGGCATGAATTATATTCTTATACAGTTCCAATTACGACTATTGGCAGAAAGGTGGTAGTGAAGATGTATGTCTTCCTTCTTATATCTAGTAGAACAATAGTGAAAGATGAGGAGCCATGAAAATTCATTTTTTGCGTGGAACCCTATAAAGTTTGTGCATTGCTTATTTACAATATTCTTTCTTCGAGCAATTGATTCTTAGGAAATCTGCTCCGTCCAATCGAAAGTGGAGGACAAAATCCTAAAATAGAGCAGAAATTCTGTCACTCGATAAAGCTCATTCCAAAGAAAATAGTCATGTAATTTTTTTCGCAAAAACAAAGTCATTATCTTCAGCAGTTGGCGTTTCTTGCTCCGTATTCCCAGTCCATTTAGTCATATAACCCAAATGGTATCGTATTAAAATAGAAAAATCACTTCCATTGTGTCTACATACATAAATTTTTTTTGAACTATACCATGGATAACTCACTATTCAAGTTATTTGATACAACTTCCCTAATAAATAACTTTGATCCCATATTTTCTGGAAGGTCTGTTTGCTCATGTATTCTTATGATTAGCTTTTGTTCGCTATTATTATTTTACTTTCTCTTTTTTCGCTTCTTAGGCCATTTCGAAATGGTGCCTGGATAAGAAGATTGATATGGTTATAGTGGGACCTGAAGATCCCTTAGCAGAAGGACTCGCTGACGTTTTACAAAGAGCGGGAATGCGATGTTTCGGTCCAGGTCAAAATGGAGCACAAATTGAAGCCGACAAAAAATGGGCAAAGGATTTTATGTTGAGACATAAAATACCTACAGCACGGTATGAGAGCTTTACTAGCACTCAAAAAGCTAAAGAGTTCATAAAAAGGTATAATGAGTCTTCATTTTAATAACCATTAAAGGTCTTTAGAAAAGATTGGGTTCTTTTATAGCGCTCCGTACAAAGCACTAGTAGTTAAAGCATCAGGTTTGGCGGCTGGTAAAGGTGTAGTGGTGGCTGCAAATACTAATGAAGCTTGTCAAGCAGTCGAGCAGATATTGGGTGATAAGAAATTCGGGAGTGCTGGCGAAACTGTTGTTGTAGAAGAATTGCTCACGGGCGAAGAAGTATCTATTTTGGCCTTCGTTGACAGAAATACTGTACGCATTATGCTGCCAGCTCAGGATCACAAACGCTTGAAAGACAATGATTTAGGACCTAATACTGGTGGTATGGGCGCATATTGTCCTTGCCCTTTAATTTCAGCTGAAGCTTTAGAATTGGTTCGGACTCAAGTCTTGGAAAAGGCTTTAATTGGGTTACGCTCAGAAGGCATAAGTTATTGCGGCGTCTTATATGCCGGCATGATGTTAACTCCTGATGGACCCAAGACGTTAGAATTTAACTGCCGTTTCGGTGATCCAGAGACCCAGGTCATCTTGCCTTTGCTGGAAACTGATCTGTTTGATGTGATGTTTGCCTGCTGCAATAATCAATTAAAGGAAATTGACTTGAAATGGCGTAACGGAGTCAGCGCCGTTGGGGTAGTCATGGCAAGCGCCGGTTATCCCGAAACTTCAACCAAAGGTTGCGTCATTGAGGGTAAGCAACACATATAACAATTTTCTTTTATAACAAGGCGTTATATTGAAGAGTGGGTCGTAACAATTCACTAATCAAACCACATACATGTCGTCCATCAGATAAACAAAATGATTTTCAATCGATCGTTGCAATAAAATGTTGTTAAAATTGAATCTACACGTTAAGGCTGTTTATATCCTTCCTTTATAACCTTCGTTGGTGGATACAATAATAACAAAATAATGTTTCCTGTGTGTGTAATGTTTACTGTGCGAGTTGACTACAATCGATGCAATAATCAACCAAGGTTTAGTAATTTTTAGGTGAGAGCCCACAGAATTTAAAAAATTCTCACTTTCTTCAAGAGAATAGTAAACGTTGGCGTTTGTCTAACAGTACCGCCTTTTTCACGAGCGAAATGATAAATGCAGAATTTGCGCATGTCAGCCATAAAAATCGTCGGAAGAAAATCTCACGAGAATTTTCAGTGCAACGGACAACCATTTATATATTTCGACCTTAACCAAACACTGTTAGAAGAAATTTCAGATTAAATGACTCTGGGAATAATTAAATTTTATCAAAAGTTGTATGACACTTAAGCTCTGCTCTTGTAATACTTTAATTAACGATAATACATATGCATATCCATAAACATTTTCTATTCATCAAACAATATTAGGGATACCGTCAAATACTGCAGATGAGGTTGTGTTCCACAGTGGCGTGGCCAAAAATTCGGACGGTAAATTTGTCACCAATGGCGGCCGAGTTCTAATAGCCGTGAGCTTGCGTTCAGACTTGAGACAAGCTGCTCTGGATTCTACGAGAATGTGTCAAAATATTCGATTTTCAGGAGGAGGAGCCCAGTTTCGTTCGGATATAGCTCAAAAAGCCTTCAAATGGTAAGCTTTTAGATGTAAACCTGACTAAATACTACATGTAGAATTTTCTTGCCCTTGTTTAGTCAAACAGCTTCCTTGTCGTACAAAGATAGCGGTGTTGATATAGACGCTGGCGATGCTCTTGTGCAGCGAATTAAAGTTTTATCTGCTGGTACAACCAAACGCCCAGGTGTTTTAGGAGGTCTAGGAGGCTTTGGCGGCTTATTCCGTTTAAAAGAACTGAAATATAAAAATCCCGTTATCTGCGAGGCCGTCAATGGTGTAGGCTCTAAAATTCAATTATCTTTAGCCCACGATATGTACGAAGCCTTAGGCTACGATTTATTCGCTATGTGTGCTAATGAAGTACTAGAATCGGGAGCGGAACCAGTGGCATTCTTGGACTACATAGCGTGCGGTAAGTTAGAGGTCCCTGTAGCTGCTCAGATAGTTAAGGGCATTTCAGATGGATGTCGTGCAGCCAATTGTGCTTTAGTAGGTGAGTTGGATTACACGTTTGATAGCATGTGACACCGTTTCAGTCGGTCTCTTCTCTTAAACTCGAAAAAGGTGGCGAAACGGCCGAAATGCCTTCGGTGTATGAGATCGGTAAATACGACATAGCCGGCTATTGTGTGGGTATTATTGAGAAAGGTAATGAATTGCCTAAATTTGATTTGTATGAAGAAGGAGATTTGTTGGTGGCATTACCCTCTAGTGGTCTGCATTGCGCTGGATTTAACGCCATTCTCAATTATATAAAAAAGTTTGATATTGATCTTAACAAAAAATCAGAGTTCGGTGATCGTAATAAAACTTTAGCCCAGCAATTAGCCGAAACCTCCTACATTTACGTTAGCAATGTTTTACAATTGATACATTCGAAAGCAATAAAAGCCGTAGCTCATATCACATCGGGCCTGCTGACAGACGTGTCACGAATCATACCAACTAACCTGAACTTTGAAGTTTGTTTAGATTTCAACAGCTTAAAAATTCCTGAAGTTTTTCCTTGGCTGGCTGCGAAGCTTAAACTTAAACCAGAGACATTATTGGAAAATCTTAACTGTGGTGTGGGTATGGTGATGGTGGTATCCAAAACGAACACCAATTGGAGGCAACTGTTAAGAGATGCCGTATGTTTGGGAACTTTGAAAAGTACCAAGTCATCACCCCAAGTTAGGGTTAGGAACTTTGCTGAAACATTGGAAAAACTAACCGCAAAATATGGCGCGACCGGTTCTAATGAACTAAAGGAGACACACTATCGCGCGTTACAGGCAACTCTGACGCAAAAATCCGAAGCGCGGTCGGAGACGTATAAAACACAAAGCGGCAAACGTTTGACTGAAGTTCCGAAAACAATTACGGATCCTATTATGATTATGGGCACTGATGGCGTGGGCACAAAGATAAAAATTGCCCAACAAACCAAACGCAATGGCAGTGTTGGTATAGATTTGGTGGCTATGTGTGTTAACGACATTCTCTGCAATGGAGCTGAGCCATACACCTTCTCTAGTTATTACGCCTGTGGAGAAGTGGAGGAGCACATATCTTCTAAGATTATGGACGGAGTGGTGGAGGGCTCCCGGCAAGCAGGCAGCAGTTTGATAGGAACTCATATCTCAGAAGTTCCCTTACTTTACAAACATGATGTGTACGATTTGGCAGGTTTCTCTTTAGGTATTGCAGAAAATTCACGTACTCTACCAAAAACTGGCGATATACAACCGGGAGACGTTCTGATAGGATTACCTTCTTCCGGTGTACATAGTAATGGTTTTAGTCTAGTGCATGCAGTCATGAAAGTTGCCGGAGTTGGGTTTAATGATAAAGCACCCTTTAGTAATGCAACATTTGGAGAAGAATTCCTGAAACCTACCAAGATATATGTGAAGGCTTTGGCTCCTATTTTATGCCAGGGTCTTGTAAAAGCAATGGCTCATATAACTGGAGGTGGTCTTACAGAAAATATTCCTCGAGTGTTGCGAAACGATTTAGCTGTTCATTTGAACGCTGATAACTTTACTATACCTCCAGTGTTTGCTTGGTTAGGTCTAAAGGGTAACATTACATCAGCAGAAATGCAGCGAACTTATAACTGTGGCTTGGGTATGGTTCTGGTAGTGGATCCGAAGTATGAATGCCAAGTAATGGAACAGTTGCAATATTCAGAACGTGCCAGTAAGATAGGTTATGTCACACGTAGAGAGACTGCCAATTCGGTTCAAGTAGTCGTGGAAAATTTTACGCAAAACTTGACAAGAATACAAAAAGTAATCAATACTCCTCGTAAACGTCTAGCAGTATTGATATCTGGATCTGGAACTAATTTGCAAGCTTTGATCAATGCCTCGCGTGACACTTCTCAATGTTTACACTCTGACATAGTGTTAGTTATATCGAATAAGGCCGACGTTATGGGGCTAGAACGAGCTAAAATGGCAGGTATTCCTACTGTTGTTATATCACATAAAGATTTCACATCGAGGGATGAATTCGACGCCGAAATGACTAAGCATTTGCAAAAGGCTAAGGCAGACTTTGTATGTTTAGCTGGTTTTATGCGAGTACTTAGCGAACCATTTGTTAAGCAATGGAGAGGAAAACTGTTAAATATTCATCCTTCACTGCTGCCCAAGCATCCGGGACTGCATGTTCAAAAGAAGGCCATAGATGCAGGTGACAAGGAATCAGGATGTACGGTGCATTTTGTTGATGAGGTAATGACCATTCGTTCTACTATTTTGTTTTCAACTAATCAAATATTCTTGCGGACATTTCTTAAGGGTGTAGATACCGGAGCTATCGTAGTTCAATCTTCAGTCCCTATATTGCCGGGAGATACGGAAGAGTTTCTTACTCAACGCATACATAAAGCCGAATACTATTCATATCCCCGCGCCCTGCATTTAGTGGTAACTGGCAGAGTCAGCCTGGGAAAAGACGGTAACATTTTGAGAGTTTGAGGAAAAAAGGACTGTAAAATGTTTTTCTTTTTTTTTAAATTATATAAAAAATCATTGCAACAATAAAATTTTATTTTTAAGATTCACATCACTTGTTTCGTTTTCGATCCAGCTATCAGTTTAGCGTTAAAACAATGAACCTAAGAAACCAAGAAAATGGTTTGGTGCCTCGTTTGATTTTACACTTTCATCTTTTCCAACATTTCCCGATAGTCGTTGCTGATTTTTAGGTAAATCGGGATCTTTTAAAATATCTTCAGATAATTTATGCAAGTTCACACGAAAAAATTGATGGTCAAATATAGGCACTATTAAATTATATTTGTCTATACTCTTGTTAATTTGTTTTACTTCCTCCTCGTAATTTTTTAAAATAGTCTCCCAGGCTTTCACTTGCGTGCCCGTTAGAGGATATTCACCGAAATATATTCTTTCCTGTTTGAATTTTCTTTTTAATTCGTTTAAAGCTTGCCTTATGTCTCGTTGCAACGTAATCCATTCCGGTGTAAAGCCATTGTCCAGTAAGATCTTATTCAGCTTATGGGTAGTGAAATCCAAGTAGGGATTTTGCGTTTGTGCATTCGACAAAGGTTTTCCAGCACCACTAAGATTATTAAAATCCCCTTTAGACATAGCTTCTTGTATATAATCTTCTACTACACGATCAAACCCGTATTTAGTTTTGTATAGATGGTTCCTAGCAAAAAAGCCTCCTTTTTTCAAGAGAGCTTTTTCGTCAGCTTGTGACTTATCCATACGATGTTTTAGAACACGTTCCTGTGCTTTCATAGCCTTTATTTGTTGATACTGTTTCTGACGCTGAAATGGATTTCCCACACCGTAGCCATCATAAGTTAAATACTGGCGGTGTTGGGGAGCGGTGTGTTCTATATCAGGCACTTCTTCCTCATCATCCTCGAAAATACCGCGACGATTTTTAGCAAATTTTTCCTGCAAAATTTTAAAAGCTTCATCCACTTGTTGGAAGCGTTCTTCTGAAGCTTCCAGCTGGCCGGAATCTGGGTGAAGTTTCTTCACTAATTCGATGTAAGCACGACGAACCGTATTTTGATCAGCAGATTGATCTACGCCCAAGATAGAGCAACATTTCTAGAGAGGAACTTGAAAAAGTAACATTTATCTTATCACGAACATGTCAATTTTTACCTTAAGTAATTCTATTCTTTTGATATGTAAGTTTCGCGAAAGCGTCAAATTAGTGTTCATTACACAACCCGAACACTTTAAGGCAAACATTTTGCGATTTATATAATTTAGTTCTTTGCCTTTTTGTTATTTTTTTCATTTACGACGCTGAATTTCTTCGGACTAGGTTGTCTTTTTGTTCTTAAATTTTATAATGAATTGGCGTTGAAAACATAGAGATACAACTACAAATGTGTATAAAATGGCAACTCCCTTCAAAAAGTAAACATAAACCTTGCAATATTTTTAAATTTGTGGAAAGTAAATAAATGTTCTTCTTCTTCAATATTTAGCAATGTTGTAAAAAAAGTTTCTGTAGTTTCGCTAGTAACGATTTTGAAGATTAATAACAATAATAATAATAACAATATTAATTAATTGGTTGTAAAACTTATGACAAATAAACGAAGTTGTCACAATTCTAAAGAATTCTAAAGAATGTAAACAAATAAACACGGTACTACGTATACAGCAACAAAATCCAAAGAACATAAAACAGCTGTTCGACGCGGTGATATGGTAGTGTTGCCACTAAAAGTTTGGAAATTGTGTAGACTACAAAATCTGCTAAGTACGCTCTTTAATTCCGGTTAATGCAGTTAACGCAGATTGCCAGAATAAAGACGTCAAACGCATAAGCATGTGCGACCTATTATTTTAGCTTCTACGTGTAATGGTCGGTGGTTCAAATCTCAAATGCAGCAGAGTTTTTAATAAAGCCGAAAGCCTTATATGCTAACGCCTGGATGACTTTAGCATTAGAATTTATCCTCTGGCTAAATTTATAATAATAATAATAATAATACTTTACTAAAGCGTATCACTGCTTTAGCAAAGTAATTAAGAAAAATCAGGAAGCTGTAAATTCAGAACCGTACAAGAAACAAGAAACAATTATCGGATGGGGTGATTGGAGGAGAACCAATCGATATGGCTATCCTCCTGAACTGTAAATTTGCAATCGGTTAAAGTATTCCACAATGTGATTGTCTTATCATGAGAGCCTTATGAACCACTCCACCTTATCAACCAGAAAGTTGGCCCAGTATAGGCAACATCAATTATGCATATATTTTCAAAAAAAAAAGAATATTCTCTTTCCATATATATTCAAACAAATGGTTTGGTTGAAATGTAATATATATTCTTTATTATATAAATGTATCAAAAATATGCATTCATCTCCCCTTGTACGTCTCCTGAATAGTTTTATATAGTTTATAGTTTTATAGTTTTATCGAGTTACTTGTCGAGACTCTTGCCTACTCACACACTCAGGCGGATTTCAGTAAAGTAAAGTGTGTTTTTGACTTTCCCAGCGTCGAATTGTTAGCACTAGGTAATGAATGAAGATAGAAAGTAATAAACTATTTGATAAGAATATAAAGATTTTGAAGCGTTTAATTGCATTTTGGAATTTTTGATTAATTTGGCGCAATTTGATTTATTTAAAGCAATCTAATGTCAATAGAAACCAGTTGATAATGCAAATGTTCTAGCAATAATCTTCAAATTCTTATTTAACAGAATTGTAGCGAAAATTTCTCATTTAACGGAATCGCATCGAGAATTTTCACCACTTTAACAGAATCGCGTGGAAAATTTTCACCACTTTAACAGATTCGACCTGTTTCGTCTGATTTAGCAGGACTGTATCGAAAATATTGACTATTTTAACAGAATTGCAACGAGTTCTTCTCATATAATATAATCGCATAGAAAATTTTCAGCACTTTAACAGAATCGCAGCATTGCAATTTATTGAAATCACTCCGCGCTCTCTAAATTTCTAAATAGAAGAAAAACCCTGGTCCGATTTAAACAAGGAATAACAAGCATTGCTTAGATAGCAACCTTATTGCACCCCTAAAAATAAAGCAATAGCGGAATTCTTATACGCGGAAAAATTAACTGTTGATACTATAAAGAAGCAAAAAATGATGTTAGACCATCTCAAAATGATACACAAAAATTATTAAGTAGTAAAGGATGCGACATATTGATTTACCTGATGGATATTCCCCTATTAATGAAGGCTTCTCAAAGTCGTAAAAGTTCAAATGGAGTCGTATTCGTGCAAATATAATCGTGATTTTCCAAATTCATCTTAAATAAATTAAAATTTAACCTCATTGCTTTATCAAAACGATTGCTCAATCGGGCAAGAAACTGGTTTTTGAAAACAAAAATTCCCATTAAATAGAACTTGAAATTTAAAAATTATTTTTTTAAATATCTTATAAACTATATACATATTTACATAATTGAAATTCATAATATCAAAACTCCCAAATATACTCCCTTCATTAAACTGGCAAAGCGCTCGATCCTGTAATAACACTACTTTTAAATAAGGAACCGAACAACTTCACTCCAGAAGCACTACCGGGAATTATGCCTACTACCATAAATGCTAAAGCAATCATTTGGGCTAAAGCAAATAGTACAGTCAAGGCAGTACTTTGCATCCATAGGGCACAGTATAAAGTTGTTATCAGGCTACCGAAATAAGTAATTGACACCAAAAATCTATCACGATTACACAATGTCTTGAAGAAAGCTACGAATCCTGATAAAAAACAGAAGCTCAAGATGAAAAAAAAACTCCCCAAGGTGTAAAGCAAAGCAAATTTTCGCGTTTTCAGCAATAACACAGGCACATAAAATAGTGATATCGTCATGCAAAAAGTGCCCAGACCAAGACAAGCGACGAAGCCAACTATACGTTGTAAGCGAGACTGGAACCATATATGAAAAGAAAATAAATTAAATTAAAAATTATTTATTATTTCCACCCAGATTTATTGTCTAACTAGTTACCAGTTGTGGACAACAAGAATCTTGAGTATCTTTAAGCCAACTATTTGCTTCTGGTTCATTATTTCGGGAAAATATTTTTCCCAACTCTAACTGAGGTACTTTTACGCTAAACTTTTTCTTTTGATCACTTTGTAACAACAAATACTTATCCAGATCATCTTTAAGATTAGCCATAATTTCTATTTTGAAATTGCCACGAATTTTTGTTTATTTCTTCCACTCATAAACGTATATTATTCTGTTTTTCTTTGTTATTACATGTTTTGTTTCTCGAAAATCATATGTTTAACTTTACGAGACAATGTATTGTTAGCCATGACTTAATATATTTACGAGACACAACATATTGTTATGAAAATCGCATATTTTATGATTTCAGTTTCTATGAATGAAATCTGAGAATTTAAAGAAAGAAGAAAACAATACACAATTATAATGCAACTTGCGATTCGCGAAAAGGTTGACAAAAATTAGCAGCAACTTGCTTGCAAACGGCCATACAAGCGGCATTTTTGCAGAAGGCAGAGGGTTGAGTCGTGCGATCAAAACGAGTTAAGCTTTGCAAATTTAAATTCCTGAAAACCGTCTGTAAATAATATAGATTTTCTAACAAGTAAATAAAACCTAGACTATCCTTAAAAACCACAAGTCCGTGATGCAAACTTCTTTCGAAAAAAAGTTGAATAATAACGCAAAGTGCGCAAAAGACGGATTTACTTTACAGTACATTTATCTGCTGACTTTAACTTTTGTTCGATTGTTGTACTAGAGATACCATGACAGGCGCGTTGCCAATTGTTTGAAATGGCTGGCTCCCCTTTCGGCCTACACCATTATATACTTATTCTATATTCTCCGGCGATCACCTTTTGGTTAATTGCAGATTTTATAAATGATGGTGTGATGTCGCTGTCTGGTCAATTTCGCGCTGCGACGACTGACGCTAAGACCCCTCTGTCTAACCAGAAATTGCAAACGGCGGTGTTTTCGTACTTCGAATACTCCTTTTTTAATTTTAATACGATTTTGACGTCGAAGCGCGGGTCTCGTCTCATCTTATCATAGTGTGCGACCACTAGATGGGTGTAATCGAACATTTCTCGTATTGTCTTCCGTTTTTTCCTTTTTCAAGGTATACTCTGTTTCTGAAATCTCGGAGTTTTTACGATATTGGCTCTATCACACACGACGCCTTTCAGATGGAGTCCGATTTCCTCCGCCAGCTCGTTGTTTGCGTCCAACAATTTTTTGGCTTCACGGTACTTGATGAAGGGATGTGTGCTGAACGCCGCCAACATGCTACGCACTCCGAATATGAGTAATTTCTGGTACTTCTTAACGCTCGGTGGGTCGTCATATCCGCATTCGTATAGAAGGACACCGTCCAATCTATTCAAAAACTTGTATTAGTCAATTGATATTTTTAAAATTCCGATGCCTGTCTATGAGTATGAAAAATGAAAAGCTAAGTTTAGTGCACTTAAACACTTCGGACAACGGCTTTGAAAATGGGAAACGAAGCAGTAGTCTACCTATAGTAGTATACCGACTTTAATCAAAAAAGGCAATTAGATATAGAAATATGATCATTATTGCACTATTTATTATTGCTGTGACGACATCTTGGATTCAGATGAAGACCTTGAATTTATTTCTTAGTTTCCTTTTTAAGATCGCCTATGTATTTGTACGCAATTTTTGTTATATTAAGTAAAGTTTAATAAACAGAAATGTTGGGGAGATATATATATATATTTTTTATATTAAGATTTTTTTTATAAAATTAGCTTATAATTTTTGTACAATCAAATCAAAACTGTTTTAAACATTTTACAAAAGTCTACGACACCTAATCGGGTGTTGAAAAAGCCTTCAGTAAACGAACAAAATTAATTTTGCTTTTTTATGCAAAAATTGAATTTAACGATTAAAGGAATAATTGTTGAAAATTGCGTAGTTTCATTGTCCCGAAATACGAACAGTTTTTATATATTTAAGTTACATTTGTTGTTGCTTTCCTGTAAAAATTGTCATCTACGCTAAGGTGTAGAAAACTTCAGGACCGACAAACAGTTGAACTGTTTCTATAATAACATCCCCAATGGGAAGATACCTGTTATCTACTTAAATCTATTCCATTTACTGTAAAGTTTCAAAGCCACCCACCAATTTACCGAGTACGATATGCTTTCCATCTAAATGCGTCAAAAGGCAAGCCATTATAGACTATATATTTTTCGATTTAGAATTAGATACATGTGTGTTATGTATGTAAAAATAAAATAATCCGCAAAAATAAAACAAGCGAGAAAATGATATTCGTCTGCGATCGAACCTTTCATATCCATCACGTCTATCCTAAAAACAAGTAGAAACATCATAGTGGATAAAGAACACCATTATTACGACCATTATTTATATAACAGTTTTTCAAAATAATGCGTTAAATACCATGTGGGCTGATCCAAAGCATAGGATTGCATTTAGTTAACTTCAAGCTCAATTAATGTTTGCGAATATCACGTGGAATGCGGTTCAACCTATTGCGCTCGCCTAGTACTAATCTTTTATCAGCAATCCCTTATCTAGGCCAAGATTTAGTACAATGAGTATGAGAAGGATTTGCAGTAGATAATGCAACATTAATTGGACTTTTCATCTTTCATTTCATTCTACATTTCATTGCTTTAGCTATAACAATAATTGATTGAATATTTCTCTATGAAACTGGTTCTAATAACCCAACCGGATTAAATTCAAATGTAGACAAAATTCCATTTCATCCTTACTTTACTTATGAAGCCATTATAGGATTTATTATCATCTTAATAATTTTAATAATATTAGTTTTAATAAATCCTTACTTATTGGGTGATCCTGATAACTTTATCCCGGAAGTTTTGATAGTTTTGCACATCATGGTAAATGTAAAAATAAATTATAATTTGCAAAAACAAATACACACAGTACCAGTTTTACAACAGCAACACATTTTTACAGACCAAAAAGCTTTAGATAAATATTGGTTTTGTAACAGGGTTGTAATGATATTGACGACCTGCACTGTTTCTTTGCAAATGCAGCAAATACAATCGTTATTTTTAGGTTATAATTTGCAATTTTGTTCCCGTCCTTTAATGCATTTATGAAAGACTTAAGCCAAATGCTAATTTCAGACATTAAAAATTAAGTTTCATGTACGATTTTCTCAGAGTATTCCACGATACATATTTTAGCACCTCTGTGTTAAAAGAAAGATTATTGGAATGGGAAAAGCTTTTGAAATACTTCCGCTGTTGAGCTTCAGGAAAGTAAGATAAAAAGAACAAGAAAAGTCGCATTCGTGGAAATACCGTTTCATCTATGGGTGGTGCACAAATCAATGGGTGGTATACAGATTAGAAATTAATCACCGCATTCACATACCACTAAGTGTATTCTATTGTAGTCCAAAGGCTATTATTTCTCATTATACATTTTTAGTAATTTATTTTTGCAATTGTTTAAATCTTGTCTTATGCTTATTCAGGATGTTTTATCCGTTGCCTTTTCGGCTGATAAACGCCAAATTGTTTCAGGCTCTCATGATAAGACAATCAAATTGTGGAATACTTTAGCCGATTGTAAATTTACAGTTCAGGAGGATGGCCATATCGATTGGTTCTCCTCCAATCACCCTATCCGATAATTGTTTCTTTGCAGCTTCCTGATTTTTCTTAATTACTTTGCTAAAGTATTGACACGCTTTTAGCTAAAAACTAGTGCTGCGCAGTTTCAGTAAAGTATGTTTCTGACTTCGTTTTGGCTCTTGTTTCTTATCGAAGTTCTATTCAAATATAACCTTTGCAGTAGAAAAATGGATAATAAGAACTAATTAATTAACGGAGAAGTCGAAAGTAAACAAAGAATTCCATTGAGAATTGGGAATTTATTCTGGCAAAAATGATTCATATAATTCTGATTTAGTGAGATTAAAATGTTTAGTTTTTGTGTTAGATTGGATCTATTCCTTCGCTTTGTCTCGCCGACTTTAGATTAAATATTTCGATTTTCATGCAAAATTGAACTTTATCATGGAAAATAAAAAAGGGAGGATAACCAAATATTTTTTTTTGCAATGAAATTCATATCGTTATTGCCTTACGATAGGGCTTAGATAGTAGAAAATATTTGTAGATGATTGGTTAGTTTATGGGCCGCAAAGCGGGAATAGGAGCTATGCGGTTACTTTTGAATATAAATAAAGCTGAACGCGACCCAGCAAAGAAAACCTGTAAGCGGAAACCATGCTTATCAACTGAATGTTGGTTGACTCTAAAAGGTACTTTTCCCTTTTTACCATATGTAAAATATAATGCGTTTTAAAACCATATTCTAAAAAATTATTTTTTATTTAGGTAATCTTGTATATATATATATTTTTCATAAAAGTTTTCAATTATTAAACGATGAGCTCTAAATTGTTCTAATGGCATGAAGATGCCGACTTCTTACTGCGCGTACCGCTTCAGCCAATCGAGCACTGGCAGCTTATAAATAAATTTGAAGCTGGAAAAATCATTGTTCACATCATTCAATAATTCTCTTTTCGTAAAGTTATTGATCTCCGTAGGGTGCTCTATTTCTATCTAGGGTATGTAATTTAAGTGATGTTCATCTGAAATGAAAGTACGTCTCTTGCTAATTTACACACTTTCGGGCATTAACACACTTTATATAGCGTTATTTTTATACCCACCACTGTAAGATGAGGGTATAGTCATTGCGTTTTTTTTTTTTTCATAACGTATGTAACACCAAAAAGGAAGCTTCGGAGACCCTATAAAGAATATACATTTATGACCTGCGTGAAACCTGCGTTGATTTAGTTACGTCTGTCCGTTTGTGTGGTGTGTGTGTTGTTAACACTATTCTGGTCGCAAAAATGAAGATATCGACTTTAAATTTGTTAGAAACATTGGAAGTTTCTCCATGCGGGTTGTTAATGAGAATGGGCCAAATTAGTCAGAGCAAATGTCCGCAGTGGCGCATAAGCTGAATGCAACTTCGTCGTCCTTAGCAAAAACTAGTGGGTTTTGCTCGTTGCTCGAAAATTATTATTATTAGAAGGCTGAAATTTTTTACATTTACTTTACGAAACAATCTACTCTTTACGTCCAAAAATGGAAACAATCGGCCATGCCCACACAAAGTTGTGAGTAATTGCATTTATGTTCATTTATCATAGGGCAAACAGGAGAGAATGTTTAAAACATTCTTGTACACTCCTTAAATGAAGACATATTATCTGCCTAAAAATGGGTTGCTTCTAAAATGAATACCGATAGACACCGCGATTATTTTTTTCTTAATAATACCACCGTTATGAGTATCAAATAAAAGAGCTTGGAAAGCAGAATACGAAAAGCAGGTGGTGGATATGCGAGATGCGGCCTCCACCGAATAGAACTTTCTTGTTGAAATTATTATATGAATTATTGAAAGCAATCGTTAAAGAAGAATTTCTTGAATAATTTGATAAATGCCTACGCAACGGAAAGATTTATCGCTTTTCACGCATCATACGATTGAGCGTCATTTTCCGAATCAATTTTAAAAAAGTGAAATGTCGATAAGGGTCCATGCAACGGTATATCGAATTTCATAATTTTTCTGTGCTCATTATAATACTGTCTTTAGTTAGCCTTTCTCAGGTTCATCATTTAACTTCATCAATTTTATCACTTATTATCTTATTTATATTTTATTATTGTTATTATATATTTTTATTATTTATTATATATAAGATATCATTACTTTATCTTATTATTACAATGAAAGTTCTACGAATACCTCAATCAATATTTGCGACAAGCTCTAGAAAACACGGCGTCATCTGCAACACAAGGGAAAATGACAGCTTGGGAGCAGCTGCCGTCAGAGTTACACCAAAACGTCGATGAGGAAGTGCCAGTTTCCGGTAGCGAAGAAAAAACTACGACATTTAAAAAAGCTCTCAAGAGCCAAAAAAAAAGGCATGAGCCCCACCCTCTCTATGGATGTGTACGTTTTCGCCTAATCTCTACGTACAGAAAATAAAAGGCGCAAAAGAAACAGGATGATCGGAACATTGGAATGTCGGTTTCGAGCGAAAATACGAAGGATGAAGCAGAATCGATTTTGTCGGATTTTTTAGGCATACGAGCGAGAGCTACAAAGACACGCACAATTAAATAATAACCTAAAGATAGATAATCTAAATAATAACCTAGGGATAGAGAATCACACAGGTCAGCAAGTGACTACATGGAAAGAAATCATCCGCTTGAAAAGGAATGTGAGGAACTTAAACGCCGCGAAAAAGCAATGATTGACCAAGTATTGGCGTTGAGGGAAGAAAGCACCCATCCGAAAAACGAATGTGAGGAACTTAAGCGCGAAAATTAATTTATTAGGTTTTATATGAAACGTTTTGTTAATTAGGACCAACCGGGGAAAAACATTAGTGAGAAATTTTATTAATCGTTTATATATTTATTATTGTTATTATTATTATATTTATTATAGTTTCATAAAGTATGCGTTCGTATATTTTATAAAATGAGTAAACTAGGTTTGTGTTCAACGGGCGTGATATGTGTTTTAAATAAAGGTAACATCAATCAAATGTCTTGTCTGTAGTGGACCCGCCTGAAAATGAGAAAGCCTGCGCCGATCAGAAAGCTAAAGAGGCTGCCGCTCATCATTAAGAAACATTTCCAATAGTTTATTGCTTGTACGTATCTCGAATTTATTGCAAGTAATAGCTTGAAGAAGCTAGTTATTATTCCTTATTTATCCAATAATGTAGCAGCCGAACAACAAAGACAAGAGACTTTAAAGCAATTGGAACAAAAAAGTTAAGCAATCACTCGTTGCTTTGCGATCGGTGCGAACATTATCGATTCGCCTAGCTAAGCAACGTGGTGGGAATTTTTTTTTTTTGGGCAAAGCGCGTATAATAAGACCATACAGACTCTAAGTGGATTTGCGCTAGTAACTTACAACCGATCATGCTCGTCGATAGTATCAATGCCGTCACTTGGACTACGGTCTCAGTCAATAAATTGAAGTTTTAACTGAAAATCAAAAATTTAAAAATTCACAGCACTTTGCTGACTGTAATTTATGGACGTTGAATAAGAAAGCTGGCGTCGATGCCCAGTGCTTAGTTTAAGCGTTCAGTCAACTGCATGTTATCAAATTAGATAATGAATGAATTTTGAAATGCGAGAAAAGCATCAGAAGATCAAGAAAGCTATTTATAAAACCTATAACCAACAAAATCAATTTATTCCTGTTTTGCGCAATTAGAGAAGGAAAAGTTATTGTGCATTGTTTTTTATTCTTTTTTCTTTGTATTATAATTTACAATTAAAATAATGTTAGTAGCGGTAAAATAAAATAACGGCAAATAATTTTCGGACTTTGCTACTTCTCGGAAGATGGTTATGAAAACAACTTTATGGCTAAAATTTGTAGTTTTATTTTTTTTTTTTGGGACTAATTGAAGATGTGGACACGATCCGTTTAGGGAATAATAAAGTTCAAAACACAAAGAAATTTCAATGCAACGTATGTAGAAATATGTGTAGAATGAATGAACTAATTTTAGAAAGAAACACGTATATACATGAAATTTAAAATAGTTACGTTCTATAGACAAACTGTAAACCTTTCGATGTACACTGCTATTTACGCTTTGTTCCCGCTGAAACTATGAAATATGTGTATTCTTTCTGATCTAATCCATGCCTTCATCGTACATATATACATATATATTTTTCAAATAAATATATATATATGACACACACACGCAGTTCAGGTTGCAACTGTGAGTTCCACACTCTTTCTCTAGTATATCATATTGATAAAACAAATTTCGAAAATAACAGACATTTAAAAACGTTTTTCTATAGATATATATATATATATACATATATATCGTTTAAACAGTCATTACAACATTTGTTACTATAATGTGGATATACATTTTTTTGAATGCACGATATAAGTAGTAAGTTATTAAAAGTTTTCAAACAAGATTTCCTACGAAAGTAGTACAAATAATTCAAAATAGCATTTACTACTTAAGAAAAAAAAAAAACAAAAAATTTAGATAAGCTGTGTATTGACGCAACATAGGAGCAAATTCGTTTATGAATATATAATGGAAATATTAATGTACGAATGAGTACTACACAATTACAATTACAAACTAAACTACGAATGTATGCTTGTAAAAAATAATATATGTAATTGTATATGTTATGAAAAAAATACATTATTATACCAAAAAGCAAATTAACTTTAAAAAAAAAATAAATATAATAATTAAAAGGTATATATTTAACCGGATCTCGGTTGCACGAAGGTTCATATTTAATCGAATTTCTCATCGCGGTATTGCAAACTAATATTTCTGCATAATTTCAGGAGCTTTAAAGTATCGTACACACAATCGTTGACAAACTTTCTAATATCCGTCAAAATAATTTCGTGTATAAGTTAATCTTATAACTACAATAAAGGATTGATTTTGAATTTCCTTTAAAGCTTTTCAATGTATAGTGCATTTTGCATACTGGGCAAAATATCTTAAGCGGCTTGGAACTGTTATGTGTTATAATCGCTATGTTGAGAACTAAAGTAGCTCACCAGGCCGCTAAATTCACTAGCTTTTCCTTCTCCATCCTCGGAGTGTTGTTGGGCCGTATTTGCACTATCGGATACTGTCAGCGGTGAAGAAGAGCACTCGGTTGGGTCCTGATGAATGATGGGACTTCTAGAACCGGACGATTCGTCATCTACAGGTAAAGGAGATTTTATGCTAGAGTTTTTATAGCTCTCCAAAGTTGTTAACTTCTTGGGTGAATCAATTAGTGATTTATTTTCACCAGGATTGTCTGTTGGTGATCGCGATTTGGATGTAGTTACTTTTTTTGGGGTTATGGTAGAAGAATCAGATGTGCCGATAGTTGTAGGTGAGAGAGAAGCAGAAGGAGGAGCTGCAACTATGACAGATGTTGAAGATGATATCGGAATCGGAGTTTGTTTCATTTGAGTCGAAGCGGATGTTTGTGGTTGCGATTGAATCGGTGTTGTTAGTGGGGGAGGTGGGGGGTAGTATACATAAGGCGGAAACACACCTAAAAAATTGATACAAAAACAAGCGTATTAAGTGGAAAGAAACATTTTTCTAGAAGCTTACGCGAAGTAGTTGAATACTCCGCTCCATGGGAAGGAGGAAGAGCTCGTTTTAAATTACTTGCAGGAGAATGTACACGTGGCCCATAATTAGGATTTCCATAGATCTGTTGTCTGAAATTAATTAAACAAAAAACGAATTGGACATGACCTTGGGGGCAAACATTTTCTTTACCTATAAGGAGGATTTAAATTAGGCGCTGGCGGCCTTGGGGATGAACCAATAAATGTAGATAGTTGGTGGTCTCTTCCACTCAATGAAGATGGTGTGGCAAATCGTGGTCGAATATTGCTTGCACCACTTGACGTGGAATGACTTAGACCAGTTGCCGACCCTCTTAAGGGCGGAGGTGGTCCGTATGTTGGTCTTACATTAGGATGAGGCGGTAATAAGTTTGGCGGGCCACCCCGATGACGTCCTACGCCAAGCGTTGACCGAGCTGCGTAAAAGGCTGAAATTAAATTGAAACTAATCAACTTATTTACAACTAACAAATGTAGTTTTACCTTCTGGAGTTGAATAAGGTGAACCCACAGACCTGTTAGTTGCAATAGAATGGGAGAAATGTGATAAACTTGTTATAACGCTTGGTTGTATGGGATTGGGAGCGGGCGGACCACTTTTAATAACGCTTGATGGAATTGATGTGAGCGTAGTTGATAACTCACAAGTGGGACCTAATTTATCGGTAGAACCGCTCGCAGAATTGGCTGCGGTAACTGCTGCAGCAATTTGTTGTTTTTGTAATGGGTCTCTTAGCGGAGTTATTTTCTTCCGTCGACCTCGAGGTTTTGGATCATTTATTGTTACGGACTCTGGCTGATTGGAAAGGGTTGCTAACTTGGTTTGCGTTGAAGCTATTTCCGACATAGACGTCAATTTTAAAGGGACGTTTGGTGTAGACGTTCTACCACCTAAAACTTGCGAAGTTAGCGACGCAATTGGCGTAGTATGGGATAGGCGATCTGTCAAATGTAGATGCGATGTCGGTGGTTGAGACGTATAGTTACGTTGTAGTGGTTGTGATAAAGGCGCTGATAAAGCGCTCTGCAGTAAATGCGACGGTGGACCAGCGTGTGAACGCTGTATTATTTGTGAAGTAGGAATACTAGTACAATGTAACGGGAACTGATGTCGCAACAATGGTGGATAAATGGTAGGCATTGGTAGCCTTTTTCTTACAGGTTCCTGTAAGCCTGATGGCAAAACTGTTCCCACTGAGGAAACCGGTATTATAGATGTACCCGTTGCCTTCTCCATATCTTTGGTTTTGGGTTTATTTCCGGAGGGTGTCTTCAAAACTTCATCAGGAGCTGGTAAATCGCGGGAAGCGGAAGCGTTAAATTCTTCCTCTTCTTCAACCATACGTGCAATTGCATCTTCATCCATGTCGTCAGGTAAGTCATCGGGTAGGTCAGCGTCGTCAAAGTCATCAACATCATCAACATCATTTTCAAGGTCATCCAAATGTTCTCCCTTTCGCTGCAGGTAATCAATGTCAAGCGCTTTTGCCTGCCTAATTACAGATATTGGAACGGTTGACAAAGAATCAGATATTTTCGAAGGCGACCGTTTATCCTTTTCAGAATGAGTTTTAATGGGGGTTAGACGCGGAGTAGCGGCCAGTTTTGCACCCTCCGCATTTTTTTCTGCTAACATACGTTTTATTTCTTCTTGCCGTTTTATAAATTTTTCACGTTCTTCAGGTGGTGTATCTGGTCTTTGCACACCTGGCTTAATGCCACCGTCTGAGCTTTCGTCGTCAAAGTCTTCAATGTAGGCATAACGTCTACCGCGTGTTCGTCTTGTGCTGTCACCACTATCACTAAAACTAAGATCTTCGTCTGAAGCCTTCGATTTCTTTTTAACTTTTGAAACCGTAATTTTACCTTTAACTTTAGTGTTACTCTTCGGAGTCGTGTCGATTGTCTTTGGTATTTGTGAACGAGGTTGTTTGCCAGAACCCTTTCCTTCTTCGATTTCTTCTTCTTCTTCGGATTCAGTTACGTCATCGTCAGAATATTCAATCTTTTTCTGTTTTTTCACAAGCGGTTTTTTAAGTTTTGGTGATTTTCGTGCGGTATGGTTCATTTTACGCTGTTTCTTACGTTTGTTTGGTCGCCAGGCTCCATCAGAATCTTCTGATGTTGTATCATCACACAATTCGGCGCTATCGATATTTTCTGATAATTCAGAAAGATAATCGTCATCAACTTCAGTTTCGGTGTAATCCGAATCATCTCTTCGTTTCTTTTTTAGTGTAGAAGGTCGACCGTCATCGTCTTCATCATCACTTTCATCTATAATAAACTTACGATCTTTTCGCCGCTCTCGCATAGAACGGCGTGCGGCTCTACGCTTCTTTTTACCATTTCCACGTCGTCTGTATATCTCTAGAATCGAATCACTATCTGTTGATGTAGAATTTGTAGTATCTTCGTCTTCTTCCTCATCATCAAAAGAAGATGTTTTAAAATCTTCATCGGAACCGTCGTCTTCAGAACTAACATCTAACGTTGTCAGCTTACGAGATTTTTTCTTCAAAGTTTGTTTCAAGTTTGCTTTTCGTTTTGTTGGCTCGTCTTCACTATCTTTTTCGTTACTTTGGCAAGTATTATTGACTTCCCCTGCTTTCGAAACACTTTCGCCATCGTTTAAATTTAAATTTTCCCCCTCTGTCAAAATTCCCTTTGACGACACTTGGTTTTCCAACAGTCTTTGTCGAGCTTTTTCTTCTTTGTCCGCTTCTATAATAGTTGTAATATCTTTACCTCGTCCCAGGTTTCCAGCTCCGGCAGCTTCATCCATTTCTTTTTTCAAGGCAGAATTAATAAGGTCATCGTATTCATTGAGTCGATAACTAACATTTATTTGTCGCCGTTTGCGTAGTTTATAAATGGGTTCATTGTCACTGTCAGAGTAGGTAGAAGATGAAGAATTACTCTTAGAATTCGTACTTGTTGGCGATCGGCTTTTCGATTCACTTTCCGATTCGCTGGAGGAACGTTTAGTGCGCCTTCTATGCCGGTCCGCCCTAGCCGTAGCTTGTTTTCGTACACGACTAGATTTGATATCATTAAAGATTTTCGACGACAGAAATTTACTTTTGCTATTCTCCTCGTTTACGTCAGAACTTTTTTCTGAATATTTAGATTCTTCATTGGCTAAACGTTTTTCTTCCTCATCGTCTTTTCTCTTCTGGTCTACAAAACTATCGAACTCTTTTAAATGTTTTTCTAATGCTTCTATTAGCTGATCTTGCTGACACGGCGGGCAATACCAATCCCCTTCAGGAATATAAAAAAGAACGGGTGATAAACACGAGCAATGGTACCCCTTGTCACATTTGTCACAAAGGAGTATCCATTCGGGATGATCAGACTTGCCACATTGCTGACAAGATTCTTCTTCATCCTTCTCCTCATCTTCCTTTCGCGCTGTGCGTGCTCGCTTCATGGGGACAATTTGGGTTTCATCTTCAAGATCCGATTCCGGCGAAAATTCGTGATCAGATTTGAAAAGAGGTGAACCGGGATCCGTCTCATAATGAGGTGGGTCTTCGTCATCTTCCTCATCGGGTTCCTCCTGTTCTTCTGAATCAGATGACCAACTGCCATTTTTGCCGGGCAATTTCTTTCTAGGCCGTTTCTTCTTCGTCTCAACTGAACTTTGCTCAGAATCTGACGATGGTTCAGATGGTTCAATAACTGTGGGATCCGATTGCTTTTCAGCTTTTTTCTTCTTCTTCAGTTCTTGTTTCATAGTTCTCAAAGCAATTTCTTCTAGCTTCCGACGTTCCGCTTCTTCCCGAATTTTTTGTTGTGCAATTCGCCTCGACTGACGGACAGGAGTTTCTGCGTCCGTAGATTCAATAATGTTGGTAGTATCGACCTCACGCTTTTTACGTGAACCTTTTCCACGAGTGACAACCACCAGCGCCGCTTTATTAATAGGAGTTGTTGCCATGATCGAGTTTTTTGGCGTTTTATTAGCAGAAATTGTTAGCGCTTTATTTGTAGAAATTGCTGGTTTTTTATCAGCCGGGATGGTAGGCGTTTTATTTGAAAGTTTTAAAAGCACAGAATCACTTTGATCTTTCTTTTGCTTTACCGTGTCCTCCCCTTTCGTTGACAGCAGACATTTTACTACATTAGAGGATTCGCTCTTCTTGTCCTTTACTTCCTTATTGATTTCATTAGATTCTGTCTTCATTTGTTTCGATGGGAGATCACCTTTTAGAATTTTCGATGGCGTTTTGTTGACGTTTCTGGAACCATTACGCGTTCTTTTAGGTTGTGGTAATTCTGCGTAAATAATATTTGTACCACCACGCCTGCCAGATCTTCTACTAGATACAGACGTTTGCGAATCAAAAGGAACCCCTTTTTTTACATGACTTGGTTCTTTTTTTTTAACATCGCTTGCACTTTCTTTCTTAACATCTTCCGGAAGTTCTTCAAGATCTGATTTGAAGTTAATGCATTTGCGTTCTGCGTTGTGACTACGCTCTTCTTTCGAAACATCCTTTTCATGAAATTCTTCCTGCAGGGCGTTTGCATTGTTATTCAATCTTTTTTGATTCTCAGACGTCTCCCGTTGTATGCTAAGTGCAAAATTGTCCTCTTTACAATCTGCTTCTGTAGCATCTGTGATGTTTTCAACTGCGGTCTTTGCATTCGAACTATCACTAGTTGTACGTCTTCTGGGAATAGTCTCATCATCACTTTCTTTTTCTTTTTGTCGTAATTGAGTTAAAAGATTTTTCTTTAAAGGCTGTAAGATGGGACAATCTTTAGACGGAAGCATATTTGAAGGGTTTACGTTTTCAATCTTCGTTACATCAGTCGTCACACTAACATCTGCCCGTCTACAACTCCTTTTCAGTTTTTTTTCGATAATTTCCGCCAACGAAGGCCTGGCGGATTTGGTGATGATCTGAGCAGCTTTGGGAACAGCATTCGTAGCTGCGTTGGAAATTATTTCATCTTCTACTTTTTTTAAGACTTCTGTGTCTGCCTGTCCAGGGCTTCTGCTTGTAGATGTGCTTAAAGAGGCGTCCTCATTTTTTTGAAAGTGTTTTTTAGGCGATATAATTTTACGTCGACTTCGGGAGTCTTCTTCTCCACTACTGGATGATGTTGTTTCTTCATTAGCTGCGTCTTTTTGCGCTTCAATCTTCTTACGAATTTCGGGATTTATCTGCTTAAGGCGCATTTTTAGTCTTTTTCCTCCTACAGCGAGCTCTTCCCCCGCTTGAGATTCCTGAGCCACATCCTCCAAGTTTTCAGAGTTGATCTCAATTTCACTTTCAGAATTGGATGGACGTGAATTTTGCAAAGAAGTAAACTCGTTAAAACGCCTTTTACGATTCCACGCTACAGGCTTGCTAGCATTTGGCATACTAATTTCTTTTAATGATTGAATGTTATTTTCTAAGGACTTTTGTTTGCACTCTCTGAGTTCTTTTTTAAGAGATTCTAGTGCAGACTTTTTTGTTTCGATAACTTCGGTTTCACTTATTGTTTCCGTCGGACTACTCGGTTTTACATGCGGATGGAAACTTTTTAATTGATCCTGTTCAACGTTAACTTTTACTTCAATGTAATTAGTGTGTTCTTCAGAAATGCTATCTGCATTCTTCTCGGTCAGGCCAGGTTCCTCAGTTTTTTTTTCTTCTATCAATTCTTTTACCTTAGCTTCGTTCGTCGATATTTTTTCAGAGCTTTCGCATTTCTCTTGGGAGTGTTTGGGATCTTTAAAAAAATCGTCTTTTCTTGTTTCTGTTGGAAGCGAAGGAGTCATCCCACAATTTTTATTTTCTTCGGCATTATTGCTCTCTGCTGCGGTACATTTAAGGTCACTATTTATTTTTGCACTACTGTGCTGGTCACTATGAATTTCAGCTACTTGTGGTTTAACTTCAGTGGACTCTTGTGCAATATGAGTAGGGCTTTCAAGGCTGTTTGGTTTTAGGCAAATTGTCGCGTCAAGATTTGAAAGAGTGCCAGCAGTTAAAGTATTACTTGATGGCGAAGACTCCTTTGTAAACAGCGGGGTATTTGAAGGTGCTAAGTCTTCGTTGCCCTTTTCATTTCCTACTAAACAATCGATTCCAGATCCTTCTACATACACATAAAAAAATTCTTCTTCTATTGCTTCTCCTACAAACGACAAATAATTATTCTCAGACTCCATACGTGGTAAAACTGCAGCCAACCACACATTTCCCACGTCACATTCTTTGCCAGAGCCAGAACCCTGAATTTGTATTATAGGATCTTCAATTTCTTCACTTAAAATGTTTTCGTCATTGTCGTCAAAGGGTTCGATCTCCTTTTCTTCATTTTCATCTTCTTCTGCAGCTGCAGAGTCCATGTCTTCTTCATCTACCTCTTCCTCTTCACAATTTGAAGAATCTTCCAAAACCTCTTTGATATGTTCATCATCGTAATTGCTGCGTTTCTTTTCAGACTTATCAACTCCAGAAGACCATGGTTTTTTCGGAGTATTATTTTGATTGTTTTCTTTAACAAGCTGAGAAGTATCTACACAACTGCTCGTGCTTCTTTTATCAATGCTACTACAGGTGAGTCTTTCAGGCAAGTCCAGTTTCCGCTTCGTTTGCAATACAACCAAAGACTGTGAAGCAAACTTTCCGATTAAAATATATGATTAAATAAAAATTAACTACCTTTACTTTCATATTACAACTGGATAATTCAATTTCATTAGCAGTGTCTTCGACAGGTTTATTAGGCTTTTTGTGTTCGCTTCCCGCACTAATTTCTCCGTTTTCGACAAGTAATTTGCAATTTTCCTCCGTGGATTGTTTTTCATCCCTCATTATTGTGTTCTCCATATCAGTTTCCTGCTTTTCTTTCTTCTTAGTATTTAATTTTATACGTAAATTTGGAATTTTTCGATCACATTCTTGTGAATCATCTTGCTCATCTGAAGTATTTGACCTTTTATTTACAACAACACTGCTGTTGCTATTTGTGTCTTCATCTACTATGCCAATATTTGCTGATGGTAAAACTACTTCATTTGCCTTAAGACGTGTAATCAAGTTTGCAAACTCCATACGATTTGTGGCTACCAGATGCCAGATCTCTTCGTCCAAATGCTCTTGATAGATACGTATATTGCAATCACCATCCTGTGTTACCCAATAGGCATGACCTAATCGATCACGCCCTATAGGTTGTAATCTTAAAGAGTCCGCACTAAAAGAAAGAATTTTAGCCCGAAATTTCGCGTTGCGCTCAAATTGGCTTTCAAGTAGCTCCTGCAATTCAAATTTACATATTTACATTTTTTAAAGTGGATTCATATAAATCATTTACTGTAATAGTAATCATTACCCTTAGTATCCTCAATTTCACTTTTATACTAGAGTTTTTGTATCCAAACCGTTCAATTTCCCAGGCGTCTTGGGCGGAATACGTGAAACAAAACTTGCTTAACGCTGATTCCCAACTTTTTTCATGTACGGTTTTACGAGTTTTTCTTAGAAGTTTTATATGCAGATCTCGTAATTGGCAAGAAACTAAATTTATGTCTTTGAAAAACTACTCATAAAACTTGCAATTTCATATATACGAACATACCTTCATCTGTTCTGGTCAGCCATTCTTGTAGTTGACTGAAATTGGGTAAATCTAAGCACAAGTCTTTATAAAATTTTTGTAGAAAGGCGCAAATCATAGCAAAATCTGGATCATTAGCACATATACGAGAATTCGAAGCTAATGCATCATCGTTAGTCGTAATCGCAGGCATCTTGTTGCCCGCTTCTGCCGACAACATAGAGGACGCCATGCTCTGCTAATTTTTTTTTTGCTACTAAAGTTGATTAAATATTTCTGCAATAAATCTTATTTGTTAATATCTTTGTCTTTGTTATTTCAGTTGCATGAACAAATCTTTTATTTGGAATTTTTTCTATACTACAAACGAATCGAACGAACCAACCAGCAGCTTAGACAATTATTTTTTACTTAACCTTAACGGCTACATAATGAAGTTTCTTATAACTTATGGAATACATAAGTAAGAATACTTTTATAATTTTCTCTTGCATTGAAAAGTCCATAAATTATATTCAATGTAAATCACAAACATAAAATTTTTTATAATTTACAAACTCTTTTCACTTCTTAGAGAGATGCCAGAATAAACTAATCGAATACTTGCCATATACAGTAAAAAATAAAGACGTATATCGAAGCTGCTTATTATATGGTCAAACGAAAGCAAAAAGCTTGGGATGGGATTCACAATGACCAAACTGTAATGTATTATATCAATTTATTATAATAGGAATTACGCCTCATTGTATCAGCCCTCTATATTTTTATTATCAAATTAAACAAAACAGAAGCTAAATTTTCTGCTATTTACAGAATGAACGTAATACTCTATGCTGATTACAGAAAGAATGTAATACTTTATGTTAATTGCAAAGCCGTCGGCAAAACTCCCCCACTTCATATATTTATATTTTTTATTACTTGGCAGCATTCGTGCGTCACGCATGAGGAGCTTTTTGAATGCATAAGCAATAGTAATAAGTAATGTAAACATTAGGGTTACTAAAGAAAGAAAGGAAAAAAAACATAAATCGAAATTATCAAAAACAATGTATAAACGCGATGATGCTAATTAGCAAAGACCAATTAAAAAAACAAATAATATTCTTTGCCAACAAACGCAATTCACAACTAATCAATTTATCGCATAGCTTCTCTATGATTTGCAAACTCCTGCGAAATTTTGTAAAAAGTCCACAAAGTTGAAGATCCATTTCGAAAAGAGGAATAATGCACCATTTTGTGGAAGTTTCGCTAATGTTTCCCCACCCATGGAAAGCGCATTCAATTTGCAAGTTTTATTTTTACAAATATATATATTACATATATGTAAACACTTATATCAATTTATAAACTAAATATAGTTGCAATTTTGCGAAAAATTTATAATGTAAATGCCAACCATTGGGATTATAACGAAGTTTTATAGTGTCAGGCCCCGAACTCATTTTCCCCCTCTTTAATTTCGTGCCTGAAAGGTAACCACATATGGCAACGTCGCTTTATCATCAATTTTGAATTAAACATTTAGGAGAAACAATCAAGCAAGTAAAAAACAATAATTTCCGATTGTGTTGTAAACATTATGGGCACGAAAAATTCTAAAGCCCGTACATCACCACTAGGAACGGCAGAGACAAATGCCCAGCAATCCACCTCTAAACTTAATGTAAGCTCAAATTTATTTGTTTGGTATTTCGAGTTATGGCTCTGCGATTCGCGCCTGTTATTTCAGCGTCATTTGAAAGCAGCCATAACTTTTCATTTTCTTTAATGCCAAGAGGCGTTGCTCGTTTTTATGCAGTATAAAAATTTTTTTAAAAATATTTCTGACTGTTTATCATAGGCCTTTCCCGAGCAGGATGCCGCAACAGAAAGTGGTTTAAGTGTATTTCGGCTGCGACTTCTTAGTTTTGTTAATAATCACAATGATCCGCGATCACCTAACGCTCAGTTTAACCGAACTCCCCTGGTTTTTGAAGATTCGCCAGAAAAAAGTTTTAATATGAATGATACCTTTGCAAACTTATTTGCAGAGTCGAAAGTAAACGCGGAACAACAAAAGCAAAGCAAATTAATGTCGGAGACAAAAGGTGATGAGAACTTAATTACCGCAGGCGAAGAAAGTATATTAAATGAAAACTCGATCAAGGGTAGTCTTGCGGATGGTGATTTAAAGAGTAGTGATGATATGGAACAAAAAATGCTCGATGAGAAGATTGATCCTCGCTCACCGTCTTTTGGTGTCGATCGTACACCTATCATTTTTAACGACGACCAGGTGGAAATTATTGAAGATGATTTGATGGAAAACTTTTTGGAAGCTTTATCAATCAATTTAAATAAAACGGAAAATGAAGGCAACATATCCTCTCTTCAAGACAATAAGGAGACCAACAAAAATAATGTTAAGGTTCGATTGAACTCACCTGCTAACAAGCTGCCACAAATAGTTAATGGCAACGCACAAAGTCATCACAGAATTTTGAAACAAAAGCGTCAACGTTTAATCCGTCAAATTTATGAAGACAACGAAAACCTCCTCTCTCCACGTACGTCAAAATTGAGAATGTCGGAATCTAAAAAATTTGAAGCCGCTAATAAACGCACTCCGTTAATTTGTGTGAGAAATCGTCCCATCTTCCGCCCGCGTTCTGCAGAAGCACTTCAAGCAGTGAAAGCAAATCTTCATGAATCTTTACCTACAATCGAGACGACTAACCATGTACCAGTTAACGATATGAAAATCTCTTTAAATAAATAAGCGCTGTTCCTGCCTACTAATAGGAATCTAAAAATTTTCTCAATCGCATTATTTCAAAGAATCCGCAAAGTATAGATATTTTGATGATGGAAACCGAGACAGAAGTCTGAAAGTAGACATATGTATTTTCAATTGAATTTCCACAGTAACTGCACTCCGCTTCTTCGAACAGTCTTCGAACACGTTAGTCCCAGATAAAAGTATTCTTTTCAGCTAAGGCATGTAACTCTAATTGTCGTTATGTGAAGTCGCTTCAACTTTATGTACATGTTTCACCAACTTCTTTGTGCACTTGTAAAATGGCTCCAATTTCTCGTTAGAAACCGTTAGCTGGTTTGTTTCTTTACATGGTTAATAAAAAAAGTAAGGAAAAAGTAAAAGAGAGAGCACATAGTTGCTTTTAATAAATGGCAATACTTTAAAATTATGAGCAAATTGTAAATGAACAAAAAGAATACGAAATAATCATAGTTTGAAAATGGAGTTCCGTTCTCGTTAAAGTTTGAAAATTGGAATCCGATCTCTGTTAAAGTTTGAAAAGGTTCCTTCTCGTAAAAGTTTGGAAAGGTCCCTTCTCGTTAAAGTTTGAAAAGGTCCATTCTCGGGGACTTTTGCCAACGGCTTTGCAAATTAGCATAGAGTTTTACGTTCGTTCTGCAAATTAGCATAGAGTTTTCGTGCTGAAAATAGCCAGCTGCCTTTCTTACTTAGGAGTAAAACTTTCGCATAAAAACAGATGTCCCAAGTATGCAGCGTTAATATCTTAATGTTCAATTGATTGCTTTTCGATGTTCTTCTTCTTGCAATTGCCTTTTTTTTCATTATCTCTTCAGTTATCCCTTCAAGTTTACAAATGTTTTCTGTTTTTGGATTAGCCTTTCGTATCCAAAATATATTAATTTCTTCGCGTTTATAATCGGTCACTCTCTCTGCAGAGATTGTTGAAGTTGTAGAGCTATATGAAGCGTCCTTTTTTCTCTATTTGCATTTTCCCGTCTTGCTTCGTTGACGCTTGCTTTGAACATTCATTTAAGCATACATGAAGCGATTTTATATCTATAAAGTTTGATTCCGAAAGCTACGCTACATCCAAAACATATTTTTAACAACTGATTTAAGATCTATTAATTGCGGCTTTAATATATTAAATAATAGCACATATGTAGATATTAGATTTGTCATTGCGTTTGCTGTATTTTGGAATAGTGCGTAGGAGAGGCTATGGGAATCTTAATTAATTAATGAAATTCTAATAAGATAATTCTATGCTGATGTTATTTGTTTCTATTTGGCAAAAAATGTTGAAAGTTTATAATATTGGTCATAATATGTTAAAAGCCGTATATTGATCATTAACAAAGAAGTTTGGATTATTAACATAGAAGTATGCGTAACCTGTATGTAGATCGTATACAAGCACGTTGAAAAGATAGTTTTTATTGTAAACAATTTAAAAAAGATGATTGTAGTTACTATCAAATTTATTTATGAAGAATTATATAAAAATATTTTTATTAAGAATTAATTTATTATTTTATTTATTTAGGGACTGAGTTGGCTTGCAACGGCTTTTCATAAACAAAATATGAATTAGAATTTCTATACATATTAATGAGAACATATATTATTATTACAGTAACATATGTGCGCTTATGTCGTAAAGGCAGCAAATTTTACATGCTTATTATTTAAAGGCAGCAAATTTCATACAAATACATGTAAAATTATCGAGAATTGTAGACAAACGTATTCTCAGATGGCTGGATTTTTATACATACGACAGATTGAAAGTAAAAAAAAAGAAGAAAAATCAAGAAATATTAAACACAAATTTTATTTTTGCTTTCACGTTCTTTATTTTTTTCCTTTTTTTGCATTTTGTATTTTGCAAATTAATTACTTCATGCTGAGATCATATAGAAAATGCTCCGTTCGAGATGTTAATTAATATTAAGGCTATGACGACACCGAAGCATTTGTAAATAAATAACAATTTCATCGGGGAAAAATGTCTTATAATATTTATTGACCAAGTTTCGCTGGACTAAGTAAAAGTTCTGGTTCACATTTGATTGTTGGTGCCGTCGTTGAACCAGTAAATATATTTAACGGAATGTTTCTCGAAGATAAATTGTCCGAGTATGTTGCAGTTACAGTAGCAGCGGAAGAAGATGGAAAGGCTACATTATTTGCCTGTGTTCCTAATGTTAACGCTGATCCGGAAACAAGATTTACTTGTTTCGTCACCTCTGTTATCTGTCCCGGTATGTTTTCATGTGCTGAACTGACTCTCAAGGGGCATACATTTGTTGAACATGGAACCGTTGGTGGTGGAGCAGGGATTAAGGAGCTTGTTGTGTATTTTAGAATAGAAGCTGAAGTTGTTTGTGTGTTGGTAGAACTTGTAGCAGTCAAAATATGCATTGGCATGCCGAGAGGTCCTCTTATTAAAGTTTCATTGCGTTCACGATTTGCATTTACGGCTGATAAAGCAGCTGCGTAGGTAGCACTTGTACCAGCGGGTTTTGTTGTTTGATTCCTTAATGCGTTATGTATGGGAGTAAGAGATGAGTGCATTAGGCTGCCTGTTTGTACAATATTTTCAGGTAAAGTGGACCGAACTCCGTTTTCTAGTTTTAGGTTTTTTAAATACATTAATGACGTTTCCATCTGATATTTACATTCCGTGGGGTTCTCGTCTTTTGAAATGAGAGGAGTAGTGAGTGGAGATATTTGTGACAATGCTTTCTCCGGCATTTTTGTTTGATTAATTGATACACGTTGTCGTAGCAGCTTACAGCTATTGTTGCTCTCACTACAAGATGACAAATCTCCTACATATTTATTATCACTAATCATGGGTGCGGTTGAATTTGTGCTTTGCCGAAGATTTAAAACGTCCGAATCTCGCGGCGATTGATCGGGCAGTATCGGCAAATCGCGCACGATATCGTCCGCTTCATTTACGTTTATTTGATCTTCTTTGCTTTCTAGAACGTTCAACTTTTTCATTTCCAGCGGAGTATCTAATTTAAAATTTAATTGATTTTTAATTTCATTAAAAACAAGTACGAAAATTAAATTCGGTCTGGACCGAATTTTTTCATTGTTTACCCCAAAAAAGACAAACGAAGTAAAAAAACAAATTCTCATGCTCTATAATATGGAGTGGGCGCAGTTGATTTCTTCTATTTTCAAAATAAAAGTTCTTGTCGTATAGGCACGTGGTTGCTGTAGGCGTGTCCTTTGAAAAGTTTAGGTCACTTTCAAATTCTTTTGCAAATTTGTAGGCGATATCTTCAATTTCACTAATGGGAGAATGTTTACCACAAATACTACAAAATTACGCAAGCAGACAGTTGAACAGACGAAGAGGCGGACATGTTTAGGTGCATTCAAGGGTTGTGACTGGCCAAGAATTAGCATACTTTATGGGGATTTTGGAGCTTGTTTCTGCGGGTTATAAAGGTATCGAAAAACAATTAAATTTTGATACACTATAATAATATTGCGTAGGCATAGTCAATTTTTTCGTTTTTGTACCAAAATATTGCAACATCGCCCAAAGAACATGCTTTCAAATTTTTTACATTTATTTGCTATAGCTTATGAGTAATGGGTAAGAAATCAATTTTTCATTTCCTTTGAAAAATAGTTACTCTCAGTTTGCGTTGTACTGCGGGCGTGCCCTTTAAACGATATGGCCCATTTTCAATACCAACCTGCCTGCAAGAACTTCCAGTATTTTTACCAAATTGAAAGTCGGTAGCTTAATTTCTGCGGCCAAGAGAATGTTGACAACAGACAGATAGACGGACATTTGATGCTAATCAAGAATATGTATTCTTTGTGGGGTCTCTGATGCTTCCTTCTGGGCGTTGCAAATATTTTGACAAAATGAATACACCCCTCATCTTTCGGTGATGGGTATAATAGCGGAAAGCAAAATTTACCATTTGTGTTCTCTGGCTCTTTTATTATAGGAACTATCCGATTGGTTAATGGCTTTTGTTCATTTTGCATAAATAAAGATGTCGTTGCTATTTGTCGTAAGGCTTCCATGCCTTCATTAATCATTTTTGTGTTGGAGCGTTTATGAGTGAAAGGGTAACGGGACTGCAAGAGAACAAATAGAGCTTATTAGTAAGGAATTAAGGCGGAGATTTTTTTTTGCTGACCTGTTGATTGGGTCCACGTGCAATGGACACCCGTTTGCTCTCTCCATGCAAGAGTGACGTTGTGTGATCTGCATCTATTTTGTTAATATTCTTTTGACGAGAATTTTTATTTGACGACAGGCAATGCGAAGGACAAATGCAAAATAAGATGCGCAACATGCAACAAATGAAGCCTAGGCCTGGAAAACAATCGACATGTATAGACAAAAGCAAAGAAGATATTTACACGCTAAGCGAATAACCTATTAAAGACGGTCCGATAAGACGTAATTCTACAGTTTTAAAGCCTTTCTCGCCAGTACCAACAAAAGCGATTACCAAACCGAGGGCTATTGTACCCAAGCCCGCATATAGGAAAGCGTTGGCAAATGTACTAGGTCCACGCAAAACGCCTAAAAGATCTTCGTCATCAGAAGAGCCACCTAGAGATGCGTCTTGTATCTATATAAAATAAACTTTTAATCTGACTTCTATTTAAAGTCAAAGGGTTACCCGATTTCTCTTTACCCAGCGTTTACTACTAACAGTTTGATGTTGAGCCTCCTGAACACTACACCGTCGTCCACGTTCCAACCAAGCAGCTCGACCCTGGGCACACTAATTTCCAAGATGAACATTACACGTACAAAATAAATAAAATGAAATCATTGTTAAGTTTTTAAGAATGACAAGCCAACTATTCAAACAGATAATGCTTTCTTTAATAAAGATTAAATTACAACATCTCAACAAATTATTGTAAAAAAAGAAAAAAATGAAAAAAAAAAAATAAATACGTACTATAAATATATAAATATATATATATATATATATATATATATATATATATATAGATATAATGAACGAAAACGTATATTGTTAGCCAACTTTACCAGCATTATACATACGCGCATACATAGGCATGTATGTACGTGCAAAAGTATGTATTATTAATATACATACAAATATATTTAATGTGCGTATGTATCTTATAAAGTTTCAAAATTCAAAGCAAAAAAAAAATAATACAAAATATACAAAACTCAACGGATATACACGTTAAATATCAAAAATATAGATAATATATTTATTAAAACAATATATACTAATATAGGTTTAAGTGTGCATAGAGGCCCTTAATTAATAGATTTTCAATGTATGGCGTGATAAAGTGAGCAAAAATGAAAAAGAAGCGCAATTAAGTAATGAATCATCCGCTTCGTATCACCATCATTTTTGCGAACGGGTTCAAATCATAATTCGTAAGCTTTTTAGGTGCTTCTATGTAAATACTTATGTCATTGTAGAAAAACGAACTCAGGTGCCTTTAGGTTCTATATATGCAGCATGCGAGTAAGCCGAGTGTTTACAGAGTAACAATAATAATAATAGAGCTTTAATTAGCAAACAACAACAATAACAAATAACGCAAGAGCGACCGCTCGTTTAAAATTCGGCGACTGAACTTAACATTTTTATACCGTTAATTCTATATGTTGATACTATTAAAGTAAACAAAAACAGAAACATCTGACATCCACGTAAACTTACAAACAAGCATAGTGTAATTGGAATTTTCTTATTTGAATTTCCACAATGAAATTTTGTTTATGCCAACAGCTTTGCATTTTTAAAAGGAACCCTCCCTGTTCAATATATTAAATTAGTGGAGTGAGTAATCATTACTCTAGCTACCCTTTCTCTTCTATACCGGGTAATTCAAAAATTTCCATTAACTTGATAAAACAAAAGGACTTTTATGCATAATTCCATAGCATAAACATGTATGTGAAGGAGTTCAAGTTTGCTTACCGTATGCAGGATTTGTTCGAAAGAATCAATTGGCCAAACGGCCAACTCCGATTGCTTTAGTCGTCGAACCTTCGCAAAGAAATCTCGAAATGACATTATTACCTCTACAGACAGGGAGCGTCGTCCACCTTTTCGAAAATAACAAGAGCAAAGTGCCTCTTTTCATCATGGTTTGCAATGCAATCGGCATTGCTAAAGTTTTAGAAATGTCGCCGCGAACTTTACCCAAAATTGAATTACGAAGCTATTTTTATCCTTAATATATATGTGGGAGGGCAAAATATCTTGACCGAAATTTTTCATCAGTTTCGATCGTGCTTATGCCATCATTATACTTGGGAATATAGTAGAAAATCGTACCGTTTTCTTGTCTGTGCATAAGTTACTGTATAAGTTACTGTGGACTTCAAAGTTGAAGTCTTTAAAGAAAGGAATATTTAATAATAGATAAAAGGACAAAAAATCTTTTAATTTGTTTTGTTTTTTTTTTTTTTTTATACACAATAAAAGGCATAAAAATATTTGAATAAAATTGCACTCGAGCTGGTGTCTTGTTTTACGACAGAGGAGAGATTGCTTGTGGTGCAGTGGACTTGATGAAAGATTTCCTTACAATGCACTTTAAGTCCCATCGACCAAAACACGCTTCATATGTGTATATAGTTGGCTACTGGCACTTATTTTCGTTTGTTTATTGCCGAGAGAAAACCGAGGTTAGTTATTATTACACACATATTATTATTATGCATTTTTTTTTTTTTTCGCAATAACAATATACTGCAAGTAAGTCCTTAAAAGTTGCTCAATATCAAGTATATTGTGAGCACTCGAACAATGAGTGGAAATGGAAATTTTCAAATGCTACTTTCTGTACACATCTCGAACGACGAATAAGAGGAATACGTGCGATAATATCTTATATTTATACATCATACTGTGCACAAACAGACAGACAGACAACATTTGAAATAAGTTATAGACGGAAGATAGTTAAAATTTTATAAGTGAATTTGTAAATAAACATATATACATATATAGGCAATGGAAAAATGAAAAAATTGAAAGACAGGAAACGATTGCGATTTCAAAAATATTTATGCATCTGAATTAGTTTTTCATTATATTTAAGTATAATATTTATTACTATTGTTTTTTTTTTTTTTTTTTGTTGTTTACATGCAAGGAAATGCATTCAAATTCCGATTGTAGTACTATTCCACCGAATGGAATTTTTAATTATGCATAAGAATGTCATGCATCTATTAAAGTACGCTTACAGATAAATGAGAAACGATGATAAATCGGTTGGCATAGGCCTATGTGTGCGTGTGTGCGTATATAAAAATTGAATTTACTTTTAATTTACTAAAATCGATTGCTCTCGTATTCCATGCCCTAATATTTAATTAAAAAAAAAAAAAATAAAATGAAAAAAGATAATGACAATAATGCAGATATATAATTACACGCACACGCAGGCTTTCAATGCTTTCCACCTATCGCCAAACACACACACACATAGATTTAGACGAACGCACAATTACTATGCTTATAAAAGGTGACGGGGAAAAAATTTACATTACAGTTAAGAATTCATAAGAATTCATAAGATAGGCATGTATATGAAAATAGCAAGTAGTACCTAATTTGGTATAGAAGTCTTGGTGATCATGGTCAACGATGACGGTAAGTAATGGTGATTAATTTCGCAAAACTTAAATTCCTAGTGGAAAATGTATATAAAATTAATTATTCTATGATAAAAATATTGTATTTTTGTGTACGGCACGCCATTTTCAGAACCGTGCGTATCAGAAGCGTTTACCGGTAATGTTCTTACCCTTTCTTGTTAGAATTTAAAACGAAATTAAAAAACTTTACCTAAACTACTAATTGAAACCACGATTATCTTTCAAATTTTTTCACTCAAAAAGAGGAGAAGATATCACATATAACAACAACAGCGGCCATTCTTAATATTTTTGGTGGTCATTCGTCATTTTCATCTTCTTGTTTTCAATCTTACAGCTTTCGCTTTACCATTTTCTAAATTTATTTCACGTATTTTTTAACGATTTAGCCTAAGATTTTCATGGTGCCTAGTGCAAAGAGCAAGTATCTTAGCAGTTCTGTGAAAATGGCTAGACTACGTGTCATATGTGATATTACGGCGTCTATGTATAATTTCGTAGAAAAATCATTAATTCCTTCGACAGTATCCGGTTGTGTTTTGTTAAAATTTTTTCGCATTTCTTTCGCCTCTTGACCACGTGCTTTATGTACGGATTTTCTTTATATCCTCCCAAATATATGTTCTCTTTTACATCAAATCCCAACCAATATCTTTCAGTGTAACGGTTTTTGTAGTTGTTAAATGTAAATTACAATGAAATCAAGCTCTAGTTTGAGCGCCGCGAATAGAGGAAGGGTTCGATATTTTCCATATCATTTCCATTATGATTTTTCACTTAATGGTGCCATCCTGCCTACACATTTCTAACACTTCATTTCATAATTCTTGGGATAAAAAATGCGTGTCAAATGTTGAAAGTGCCAATCGTGCGACGGCGCCGTCAAAATTTCATGTCGTTTCGATGAGTCGTTAAAGAGAGTTACATTCAAACAATGGAAAAGACGAATATAGTACGTTAACGAAAGATTTCCTTTTGATGGGAATATTAAAGATCAAACTACGCATTGGATTGGAAAGCTTTATATCAAGTTTTCTTCGTCAAAGCTAGCAACTCGTCGATGGTTTAACTGATACGCAGCGACTCAGTTAACGCAAGGAAAAAGGATTTACATCGAATAGATGAGATTAATAGCGGAGACCGAAGCATATTTTAAGGGTCTTATCAAAGTGGCCTTTATAAAAATTCTTCGAAACGTTAGAGGAATATGTTAGACTGATTATAGGATACTATATAGAGGGATAAAGTCGATTTTTGCCTAGGAATCATTTATCGAAAATTTTAATGCATTGGAAATGGACGCTTTTCCGTTGATTCGTAGAATTGTTTGCTTCCCTTTGATGTAAGCAACTGTACATAAGTATCGACTTTTTTGCACGGAATTATACATAGACAGAGGTGGCATTATGATTTAAATTTTTGTTACAAAATTTCCACGACTCAATCAATTTGTCTCGAATTTGACGAGAAACATTGTACTTTAATTTTGAAAAAAACTTTGCTTTGTGTTCTGATTACACCGGAAAGCATTTCGTAAGCGATTACTGCAGTAGTGTGTAAAAATTTAAGCTACTCCTCCTATACTCTTTTATTTATTTATTTATTTATTTATTTATATATATATATATATATATATGAGACAAATACTCTCGGAGAGACGGTCTCTCGTACAGGTTATAATTATTATAACGAGAATGTGATATCAACTCTACAGGTTTATAAAAGATATCTTAAACGTAAGTCTAAAAAATAATTTTTATTTTATATATTTAATTTACGATGATTTCAATTCGCTAAAATGTTATATATACTATGTGTGTATATGTGTCGTATATGACTAACGTTAACTAACATAAGATGTTAATTAAACGTGGCCGGTATTGAATGTAATTCAATAATAGAATTTAACAAACTTACCAAAAAACGCTGAAAGATGAAGAATATATGAAAATTTCTATATATAATCACACGATCACGATCGTTTACATTTTCTAACGATATTTCCGCATAACACACATCTCTTGAATCCACGTGTCCACGTGCGTGTGTTAATAATACTTACTAAGAAGAGTGAGCAATGGCTTTAGAATTTACATTTCGGTTGTCTTCATCAGT